GGGAAGTGTTGTCTGGCACGGGCGAGCGGTATTAATGACAAATGACAGCCACGAACCGTGAACTTGGCGCTTCCGATGAAAATTACTTGCCAATTATAACATCGCGTTTAACCTTCTGCGGCTTCCATGCAGCAGCGAAGGTAAAACACCATTATATCTACCGACGTAATAATACATCACTTAGTGTTGCATTGTAATCCATAAGCGGACAGAAAAATTGGTATTTAATAAGTTCCTCGATTCCGACTTTTTGCCTGCTAAAACTTTGAACTTGAAAGTAATGTGTTGGAAGGTAATATACAACAATAAATGAATACCTGTCTATATAATTCATTTGGGATTCGAACTTAGGGCCTTTTTTCAACAACGCATTATTTTAAATATAAAAAAAGAGTCAAAACTCTTTCTCCATGGGGAGTGAACACATCTCTGTCCGTTTTACTAATCGGTTCTTTTATAGGCAAGTAGATAATTCTACTTCTGTGCCCTGCCCGACTGAAACTACTTTTTCCCGCTTAACACTATGAAACACGTTTAACCATTTGGTTACAGAGGCGGTCAAATATTAAAAATGGTGTTTAATTCGGTGTACAATTTTGGGATTTCAAATATTAGTAGTTATTAATAACTCCACCGTTACCTCGAACTAGTTATCCCAACAAAATATACTTTCTTTACGGCGAATTATAGATGAATCTATAAATAAACTATGTATCATACTAATCTTGTGAATGAAAATAGCACGTTTTAAGCTTATAACTTGGACCATTCTCAATTCTCCGTACATTAAAACGGTACTGGTAGCGTACCTCGAAGTAACTACGCACTTATACCTAACTACTGTAATAATATTATGTTTAAATCTCACGTACTTTATGCGGTATGGCGACGTTATTTCAGATAATCACAATAACGGAAAAAGCCAAGCGCATTTGACTTCAAATTAGAATCTTTGGAAACTATTAAGATGGCAATTGTTGTTTTTTTTAAAGCTACAATGTGTATATACATATACTATATACCGCAATAGCAGTGTGTTTTTTTAGATTAGAGAATATTTTTACGGTCCTCCAAAACCCCTGTTAAAACAGTAAGATAACAGAGTAAAATAATTATTTAAAGAAAAAAAATCATTTATTTCGTAACAGTAGTTTTGAAGAGATGTATTGTAATGGTTTTCACATTTATAGATGGATCAAAAAATTTCGACACGGGCAGCACTTGAATCGGTGTACACAGAGTTACGTACCTACTCTTGCTCTAACCAACCGAGTCCTACACGACATCCTCGAACCAAGCAATGATTAACGCCACAAAAGCAGATAGATTACGTTTCCATGACTACAATAACTTCACCATTATTCACACTCCAATTCAAAGCCAGTAAAAGTACTTTTCAAACCGTCTTATTATAAATAATTTACTTCTTCAATACGAGTGCTTGTGACGGTATATAAATTGAATCAATAATTGGATTTACGAAGGCGTCGAGAAAAGGGAATTCTTGATGTAATCAACTGTCTTGGTGTTGAACATGCGCTTCATATAAATTGAGAAATCTTGTAAGTACGTACGTGTATTTTTTGCTTGGCAAAATTTGTATATAAAGCGATTACGCCACTCTTCAACACCATCAAGTAGGTATGATTAACACTTTAGCTGAGGGCTAAGATACCCTAAGTGTGAAAAGGTTTTAAGTATACAGGGGAATCGGTTAAAGAGATTATTAGGAAACCTTTATAACATAGTATATTATATATGTTTATTTATTCATTAGCAAAAACTTCTATCTTAACAATCTGATGCGATAGAAAAAATATTTATTATAATTGCTTTCGCCTGCGACCTCATCCACGTGGGAAGGTTGCTTTCGTTCACATAGTCGTAAATTTAATTAGCGTGGTAAGTATTTTTCTTATTCAAAGTAAAAATCTAAATACAGCAATAGAAAATCATCTGGCTGTACATTTAATACTATTTTTAAAAACTGAATGTGGGAGACAAAGAGAGTGACAGAATAGAATATTTTAAATTGAATTATTCCATGGCGAACAGTTTCACGTTTTATACTGACATAGGTATATTCTCTTTGATGTTATATGCCACGTAACGCGGGAACGCACTTAAACTCCTCACCTCCTCTAATCGGTTCAGCCGTTTTTGAGTCACAAATAGTCTGTTTACAACTCAAAAAATGTTACTGGGATAGGTTTCGTGGACATCATGAAAACAAACAAGCATTTCGTAAAAGCACTTTAAAAAATAAATGTGTTCGCTTTTTTCTTTATTGTTCAAAAGCATACCGTGAGTTAAATATAAGAACTTATTCGCGGAAATGGAGTCACTTTAATTCCTACGTAATGCGCTAAATAACAAGATTTTTTAACCACCCAATTACTTTCTGTAAAAAGGAGCATTGCAGAAAATCGTATATGTATATATATATAGTAGGTACATGCTTATGTTTTGTTTGTGTATGTTTGTAATTAATAAAGTTAATAAATAAATACATGCATTAATATAAACAGTGAAGACAAAATATTTAGAGTACACCATTTTATGTCAGACGACAATGCATGGGGTACTCAATTAAAGGTGAAAAGTCCCTTCCAAATAACCCTAAGACCTTGTGGCTTAGGACGTTCTATGTAACTATTAAAAGGAGGACCTCATCATATATGAGGCTCCTTTACCTCATCATTTGTGTTAGCTCAGTTTTTATTTAAACATACTATAATATCGATACATAAGAAAGATTAATCAGACATAGTATCTGTAGTATATCTTTCAAATTTTTCGTATATTATATTAACTTGTGTATTATTTTAAAAAGGCGTGTGTTATATATAAATCTTAAGTAATAGTCGTAAAGTCAATAATCTGTACACGAATACTGTAAATGAAGAAATAACCCATATAAAACACGCAAGAAACAGATGTAGGTACACTAAACGAAAAACAATCGAAAAGATAAGAATTGTTTATTTCTGTTATTCGAGTTTCTCTTCACTGTTTCAAAACAGACAACGAGCGCGACTATTATTTAATCAGAATCGTCGGGCACTTTGAGATTTTGTATTACAAAGTGAAAGGTCTCCCTACAAATTGGCCGGAGGCAATTAATTATAGAGAATTAACTTTGAGTATTTTATTTGGACATTTTAAATCATGGCTGTTTGCGACTGTTGGCTTGTTGACTTCGTGTATCAGAAAAGCTTAGGGTAGTGTCCGAGAATAAATGAGGCCGCTAGAGGCAGAGTAGCAATACAATGAGGTTATATCTTATTACCCTAATAAATCTATTTTTAAAATCAAATTAAACTGATTTACTTATAAGTCTGGCAGTGATTTTTTATGATAGAGGAGGATAGACAATTATGAATTCACTTGATGGAAGGTATTTCAGCCATATATTTAACATAGTAAGTGGCGCTGTCAATCTTTTTTTGCTTTAGATATTTGGAAATCCACAGACTAAAACTGAAACGAGAGTAAACGGCTTTTTCATCTGTGGTTTATAATCCCAGACTTATTTTGATATTCCTATCACCTATAGATATCCTGATTACTAGACGTAGTCCCAGATATTTTTGAAAAAATATGAACAGATTAGAAACATATTGGTGAGGATCGAACCGGCGACCGCGATTATCAGCCATTGCTACGATGACGAATCCGTCATTAATGTAGAACGTCATGAATGTCCATTGTATGATTATCAAGGAATTAAAAGGCTTCTCATCTAGCTTAAAAGCTCCATTGTTTTGGCATAATAATGGGCAGCTCGTAGATTACAAGAGTACTGTACATGACACTAGAAAATGCACACACGTTGAACGTAAAGAGGGCTCGAGGCATAATCAGCCACGCCTGCCTCTGATGCAAATAGGCTGGCTCTATAGCATGAGCACGTTCATCCTAACATCTTGTGAGCCTTTATTTTACTTTCTAAGACGTTTTAACATAGCTTTGGAAAGTCGTATCAGTTCACGCGAGCGCCACGAGTTAAATAAATACTCAACAGTACAAAACACGGTCTTAATTGTTTAATAAATTGTACCTATTCAAAGAAAATACCTTTAACGGTTAAAATCGCGCCATGTATTAGTTAAACTTATTTTAATTAGGTATGGTATCCGACGTTTCGGATGCAGCAGCCGCGGTCACTGGGAGACGTTAAAAGTGTTTTATTTAAATGTACGTACTACTTACTTCAACAGTACCTAATTGTTACTATGTCAAAGTTAAGTGTTTAAGTGTTGTCTGTAGTTTGCGCGAGTGATACACGTTAAATCGACCACTTAACGGTTTAAAAACTTAAAATATAATACTTTATTTATTTTACTACCACCCTACATTGCGGATACGTAACAGAAGCAGCGATGATATTGCTCGTTTTGGATCGTTATACGTGCTTGATTTAACTAGGGACATTAGAAAATTACGCGAATCATTATTTAATGAAAGAATAGTACCTAGTTATTTATTTTGTATGAGTACCGATGACACTAATTATGCACTATTAAATAATGTACAGACATTAATGGTTTTATTCTGAGAAAGAAAATGAAATATCGTGTTCGTACGTTAACATTCTATCACGTTTGGATTTATATCAGGTTTTTTTTATATTTAGGAATTATTGAAGAATAAAGTGCGATTTTGATGTAGGTGTATTTATTACAAATCGATATATTTAGCGAATTACGTCAGTCAGCTAGTTCCCTTTAAAATGTTAAAATCCCCTTTAAAGCTATTAAAATCGAAAATATGCTTAATTTAAAGTCTTAAGCATGGCTTTTTAAACATTTCTATATTTCGCACCTGCGCACGCGCAGTTATGCGAGTGAACGATTATTGTTACGCATACAAATTAACTTTGAATTTACCACTTCGTTAGTTCGTCGCCTTTTCTGTAACGGTATTTGCAAGAATATTTGGACATCCGTATGTTACATATTATTCCGTTTATATGAGATAAAGATGCATTAAAAACTTACCATTTCTAGATACATCTAGCTCAACTAAATTTTCAAAATTCTGTATATCAGATGGCAGCTTGTGTATTTCATTATCGCTGAGACCCAAGCGTCTTAGGCGATGCAACCGGAAGAAATTCTGCAATAAACAGAAAATGAATTCTATAGTTTTACCTTACTCCATTAAGCGAGTCCATTGATTTGTGTACACTAAATTTATTACAAAACCTCTGACAACAATAGCTTTATTCTTATGCCTATATATGCCACAATGTGTTGTGACACCTTTAGTTTACCTTAAGTTTTTTGTGACACAAGATACAAAAAACCTAAGGTAAATATAAAAATTGATATATATTTATTAGAAATTTAATAATAAGAGATGTCTGAGATGGGCTTCAAATGTATTTTCACTAAATTGTTACTTACTCACTAGTTACTTGTGAGTTCTCAATTAATTTTTTGCTTAATGTATTTATATTACAAAAAATATGTTAGCTAGTTATAGCAATAAGATTACTTATCACTAAATTTTAATATGAGAAATGCTATTTTAATAATTTTTGACTATAGATATGAACAAACATATAGGTAGTTAGAACTATATTCATAAGAGAAACAGAGTCAAAGGCTCAAATATCCAATGGAGTAGTAATAATAAAAATACTTAAAAAGTTTCAACAATGAAAATATTAAATATCTGCCACAAATGTTAAATTTTTAGGGTTATAGTTTTGAACTAACAATAATCTAAGTTAAGTAATATTTTACTAATCATGAGATACTTAATCTTTATATTATTTATTTACATTACTCAAGATTCTTTTTTCAATGGCATAGCACTAGTGACAGTAAAATGTTTTTTGTAACTATAACAAGTAATTAATTAATTGAATGTTACAAGATTTATGCTACTGTAATGTGTCTTTGAATTTAATTACCACTACTAAAAGTGTTGTTTTAGATAAACTAATTTATATAAAATTATAATGGTGCCATGTTTGTTTTGTGACTTGATTTACTCTGCCAAATTAAGTAGCTTAAGATTTCACACAACAAAAAAAATTTAAGGAAATACATATCATAGTAGTTATAAGAAACAAGATAGTTAAATAAAATCCTAGTGCTTAACTGTGTTAAGACCCAGTTTAGTACTGTCAATTATAACTGCTTGAGGAAATAACACAAATATTCCTATCATTTATCCTTAGGCCCCAAAACAAGCAGTCCAGTCCCCTGATATAACTTGTATGATAAGAATTTACTTGCTTTAGGATCAAATCCGTTTTATTTACCTGCCATTTGGTACTATTTACGTGTAAGATAATACGGTAAACGCCCACGGATAAACATTTTAACCCAGTTTACACACAACCTTACCTTGGGCAGGTCACGAATATGGTTGGCATCCAAAAAAAGTTCTTCCAAACTCCTAGAATAGCGTAAAATGTCTTCAGGTACAGTTGGTAACGAACAGTGCCGCTTGTCTACACATTCCACTTGACGATTACATTTGAACAAAGGTATACATCGAAACATGATGGAAACTACACTTTAATGAAACTATACTTGTATAAATCACTATCACGACACATATTTGAGCACTTTATAGATCATAAAACTTCATCAGCATTTTGTATTATTTAAAACGATATCAAAAATCGCAAGTGAACACTCCAAACACCTCACCCTCGAAAATGAAGCCATAAACTGTCGGGGTTGCCACCTTTCAAAAGGTTCAACATTTCGCATTTTTGTTACTAATCTGTGGTGAATACAGGATGTGAGCCTTATGAAAATTTCTCAAATAATGGATAATATTTGAAATTTCATTTAGTATGATTTGTCATATAAAGTAAGCAGTGATGTTGTAATCTTTTTTTTTTGATTAATATTACCGACTATGTATTCCGTCTGCACTTTATACATAGAGTATTGTAATAAATATTTTTCTTGACATTGGCATTTGGTACACTGGCATTTAGTATATAATATCAAAATAATAATTCTATTATTCTACACGGCAGTTTATAAACATAGTACATTCTTAAATTAACTTCTCGTAAATTCTTATAAATCGAAAATTATTTATTCTAAACTAGTGGTTCAAGATACCAATGTTATGCTTATTTAATTAAGTTTATCCATTTTATGTTATTTGAAAATCCAACCAACTAGTATTACAATAAAAGTATTTGTCTTTTCAGTCCCTATCTTGCAAAAATAATGACTTATAATTTAGGCTTTATTGGAGGAGGAAATATGTCTACAGCGATTGCTCAAGGCATTCTTAAAAATGGTAAGTTAGATCTTTGAAATTTACCGAAATAAAATATAGGAGAAAAAAAAATATTTGAGATTTTAAAGTAGTTATGGTTGAGATCAAAGTATTCCCTTTGAGTCTACAAAAAATGCATATATCTTCACAGGTGCTCATCCGGCATCAAAAATTTGGGTATCAGGCCCACATTTGGAAAATCTTTCTCACTGGAAGGAATTTGGAGCAAATATAACAAACAAAAATGGAGAAGTCTTTAACAACTGTGACATAGTATTCCTTGGTGTAAAGCCTCAAGTATTATCAAGGGCCATCAATGATTGCCTCAACACTTTAGCTCAAACAAACACAAATAAGAAAGTATTGTTTATTTCAATTCTAGCTGGAACTAGTATTGAGCAATTGCACAAGGTTGGTAATATTATCATTAGTTTATTTAAAGTTTAAACTCTTTGGACTACTAAGTAGTTTTGGAATTATAGTGGGTTATAAAATGGGATAACTAATAACATAGTGTATCATTTTAAATATAACATAGAACAGTCTAAAGCTCTTTGACTTTATTGTATTTGCTTACATGGATATGAGTACTGGTAATTAATGAAAATTCCTAGTCTTTTGTTTTTACTGCGTTGATGTTCAAAAGTGTCACGTTACTTCAACAGAATATTCTATTAAATTATATCATATGTCTTTATTCCAATAGACTCTTAGCATACTGCCTGGTGAGAAACAAGTAATAAGAACTCTACCAAATACTCCGATGTCTGTAGGTGCTGGGGCTTGCCTTTACACTCCTGATCATACTGTAACCAGTCAACAATGTACTGAGCTTGAAAGGTTGCTCTCGGGATGCGGCTTATGTGAAAGAGTGCCTGAATATCTCATGAGTTCATTGGGTTCCTTAATTGGGTGTGGACCTGCGTTTGTAAGTTGTATTTAAGATCTGTTAGAATTCATTAAGCTTTTCTTTGACAAGCAGTTTTCAATTTAATTTCAAACTTTACAATAATAATTTTCTAATATAATAGTAATTTTTTATATAGTGTATATATAAACCTTTTCTGTTTGCATCAAACTTTAAGTGTTATGATCTATTTTGCTCTGGACTTACTCACATCTAAAAGAAGTGTAAAATAAAAAATTACCAATGTCAAATTGGTCTTGACCATGATTAAAGAAAGCAAAGAAAATCTATGTTTATTATGTTTAAAAAATGTGAATTTATGCCATCAAATTTATTTTTGCAGATGTACATAGCAATAGAAGCGTTAGCAGATGGTGCTGTGAAACAGGGTGCTCCAAGGGCACAAGCAACTAGATTAGCAGCCCAAATGGTTATGGGCAGTGGGAAAATGGTATTGGACAATACAAAACACCCTGGTCTTCTGAAGGATGAAGTTTGTTCCCCTGGTGGTACAACAATTTATGGAGTCGCTGCATTGGAGGAGGGTAAATTTAGGTGTGTGGAGGACCAGTAGATTTAGATAAAATAATAGACCTATTGAATTATGACATAAATCATTACATAGTGCACCAGTATCCTGTTCTTGCCTTTCATAAGAAATGTTTTTTGACTTGAAATTCACTCCTGGTATAAAGATAACATTATTTAAAATACAATTAATTTTTGTTAAATGTACATGTATCTACATTTCAGTAACCTTGAATGACGTCACTAATTTACAATTCTGTGTAAATTTGTTTTCGATGACGCCGCTTTGTTATAAATCATTTTCAAAACGAAACATAATGGCGAACCTAAGTGTAATAATAGAAGAAATTATATTGTTGTAGAGTTAAACAAAGTTAAAAAACTAATAAACTATAAGAATTTTTGTAATGTTAAACGTTACTAGTATTACTTCAATATCAAATTATATTTTACATAAAATGTTCTTAGTTCTCATAAAAATATTTAAAGACTTTTGCAAAACCACTGATAGTAATGTGGTTTATATCTATTTGCTTCTCTTTTTTTAGGTCAACCTTAATTAATGCGGTGGAAGCAGCTACCCTAAGAACGAAGGAAATGGGTAAAAACTAGCACAAAACAGTTTATACAGTGTTTAAAAAAAAATAGTTATAAGTAGTATACACACTTGCACCACCAATGTCGAATCTCTATAAAGCTTTGTATTTAGAAAAAAGTAGGATATTCTTGTGTTTACTTGAGTTATGTGATGATAACAATGTAGGGTGTAGATTATATTTTAGGGAGGTTGATCTTAAATAATGTGAAAACAAAAAAAGAAATGGATTGATTAGCGAGTGTTGTGTCAAAACAATATCTCCAATTATGCTTCCTATTAAAATACCATCAAGTATTATAACCTGTTAAATATCTACATTAGTAAGTTTAAATATTTAGTATGTATAAAAATTCTGCAATTTGTAAAACTTTGTTTGTCAATATTGTTTATTCTCGTACAAATGACCTGTAGCGCAAATTTGTTATAGTCAGTTACTATAAATTTTGGTTCTCGCCTGTACTCGCAAAACTTTTATTTACAATAACATGTGAAAATATGATAGTTTTTAAACAAAGATTGATTTAAAATTGGTGTTAGTTTAAATGTTTTATTCAGTATTCTTTTATAAGTATTGAATGCAGCCGTGTGTAGTTACTTCCTTACTAATTATTTACAAAAGCTCGAGCTAAAGAGTATCTTGTCTTGGAACCTTGATATTAATTCCATGTTTCTGTTTTAAAAATTGTTTTTAATGGCTGGAATCTAAAATCAAAATTTAACTTTCGTGCTAATCTTATAGTACCTATTATGATGTAAGTTGTATATTTACGAGTAGTTATTAAACTCTTCTCTTCTTCTATACAAAAACCGCATATGTAACAGTTAATAGTTAAAAGACTAAGTTTAAAAATGTTTGTATTTACATTTTGTAACATTCTCAATTACCATGGATCTGAGTTTTTCTTTATTAGAATTATTTTCTACACTCACAGTAATGATTAATAATATTTTTATTGGAATATTAAATGTCAATATTCAATATATTATAACTGAATTTGGGTTAAGCATTCCCTCTGATTGGAACTTGGAATTCCACTTATATTTTTTTACCAATGTTTCGACATCTGTTGTTGTCTGTGTTGTTTATTGTTAATAAAATGTGTTGACCAGTATACTATTTATTAATTTTACATGTTATTTATTATATATATTACAGCGATGCAATATAAAAATGTTAATAAAAGAACATTTTCGCGTTTTCCACTTTATCATCTGTATATTAAAGTATAGCCACTCATTAGTATTTTTGAACGCACTATCAACACTATCACAAATCACGTACCACGTAAATACAATTCAGTGGTAATTATGTAACGTGTCTAATTCTTTTGTTTTTCGTCGCACCTCAGAGAAATCTTCCTCGTCGTTTGTTTAGGCGTGTACGGGTGATAAGGGTGCAGGCAGACCGATCTTCTAGTGAAGATAAATAGTGACACTCGCCGCGCCAGACCCACGCCGATATCGATACTTTTGTGTCTCGGCACATCCGTTGGAGTCAGTTCAGCGTCGTCCGCTCTCGTAATGCAGCTCATTTTTCGAAGCCTGCGCCGTACCCGCCTCAAGCTTGATTCTAGACGAAAGGGAACCTTCCAAGAGAACCGTTTATCGTTTTTTCCCGCTGTTCCCTCTAAAAGACTCTCATCTTCTTTGTACGTTTCGATTGAGTCTTTTCTATTCAACGCGATCAAAGCGTGTTCTTCACTCATTTCTTTGCCTCACATTTTTAATACACAAGCTTATCGTCGGTTACCAATGCACACTGTTTTGAGTACCACAAGATGCCTGTAATTTTGGCATTGATTGAGCATGACGTCTCCTGATAAGATATTTGGATTACTGTGATTAATTTCACGATTTTTGTTTGCAAGGTTTATGATATACGCGTGCTTATCTTTTTAATACTTTGTTATATGATATGTTTATGGTGACCGTTGTCTATATACCTATATGAGTTATCAAATCGCTACTGTGAAGCATAATATACCATACTCTGGTATGGCCTTCACTAGACAGACGCTAAATTTGGTTAGGTATAAGTGATACATGTATGGTAGATTTGATATTTAGTTAGCTTTGAAGTGAATTAGTCATCAAACACAGTCTATACACGATAAACTCTAACTAAATTAATTAGTTTAAATAAAACATTTTAACGGTTTAAAACGCGATATATTAGGTAAACTTGCAAAGCATCCGAAACGTCGGGCCGAAGTTAAAAATCATTTCCAAATAAGTTTAACTAATATATCGCGTTTTAAACCGTTAAAGTGTTTTATTTAAATGTGTACTACTCGCGTAAACTATAGACAGTATTTAAATTAATTAGTCTTTAGTTCTTCTTTAACAAGCAATTACTTTATCCTTAGCGTACATAATATATTATAGGTTACATACCTAAGAAAGTAAAAAAGAAATATTTGTACATAGAAACTTCTAAGTACGGGAAGTATCTACTTTTAAGAATACAAATCTCTAATATAATATTTAAAAGTATATAATAATAAGTAAGTAAATGGCCTAAATTTGTTAATTCTTTCTTAATAATAATCTACTGAATAATTGTTTGATTGTAGTTTTGCCTGATGGAAAGAGACTGAGTAAGTAAGCGACCTGGGATTTAGGACGCTTGCTTATATAGAGGCTATGTACATTTCTTTGGAATGCCTCTTGATTGTAGTTAGGTGGTAAAATTATATGCGGCATTTCATTCTACTCCTGACATGTTTTAATAATCTCGCAAATAGCTTCGTTTAACTGCGAGACACAACAACCACGCCCTACGTGCCGCCGCCTTGTAGATTGTAAAAAGGTGATGCCAATATCAAATCCTCCAGTTCCTTACTTACTAAAAGATAGTCTATAGTAAACTGTTAGCCCAGCAATCTACTACAATCTTTGTTCTTTTGAACTAAGTCCTTTTTAAAACGGCAGACTTAAACTATATTATGCACACGATCTTATTATGTGAGCCTGATAAAGTCACAAGAGTGGTTCCTCGCCACTACTGCCTTTTATTATTTTTCCAGTCGTTGAAAGTGTATTTGCCGTATCACTCGTGTATTACAAAATGATTGAATTGGTGCTATGTAGTAAAGTATTTTTGTTAAGAAAAATAAGACTCAGCTGCGTAAAATACTTTTTACATCCTGACAACGTAGAGGGAGAAAGCTAATGTCTAAGTACACTTGTACGTGTTTTATTTTTCCATTACTATTCACTATTTAGGACTTGCAAATTTTGCTATTAGTTTATTTGAAGGCGCTAAGTATTTAAAGTGAGCAGCTTGCCTGTAAAAAAGTAATTAATTTATAGTCCTACGCTATCGTTGACGTTAGGTAAGTGTTTATTTCAGTTATTAAATTTTCGTACACGCAAAGCTCTAAGTATTTTTTTAGTTTTGCTATACTTTCAATAAGAGTGCTTGTTTATTTGTTACTCGCTTTGGGATATAATAGTGTTAAAAGGTATGTGGTAGGTTATTATGAAGAATCCATTCAGGAATGAGTGTATTACTATTTATATTAGTAATTTAAGTATATTGTGTTTCGTATTTCATTGATCCGAGAGCTGTCGGTTCTATTGATTTGATTTTTATTCGTGAAAAAAGACAAGGTTTCAGCCTTGTGTTCACAAAGCGTGAGTTTCCCGATTGTCGTCTATATTGTGTAACGTTTTGTCGCTTATATTAAGAAATAGAAAATAAACTTTATATTACTTCTTTTATGTGCTAATTAAAAATTTTGTTACTCTATAATTTAAAGGGGTGAGAATACAATTTTTAAGGAGTACAATGTTCAAGTATTTATGACTTTTTTAATTAAAAGTCTCACCGATTAAGTATTTCCTAATGAATGACGCATATAACTGAATTTAAATTAGTTTTGCCATTATGGCAGCTGATACAAAGAGCGGTTTAATGTTGAAACAAATTGTATGCCTAATATTCAGTGCCAACGCAAGGTAATGTTTCATGCTCATTTTCCTACATTTTGTATCGGCACTATTTGTCCTTTTCTCGCAAACGAATTGTTCGATTTAAACATGAGACGGAGATAAGTATGATTAAGACATTGACGAGCTGCGTCGGCGCAGGCTACCGCGTCACAGTTTTTCCCGCAGTCTGATAATAGTGCATACGAAAACGACTTGTATTCCGCTTAGTATTTTATATTATTTAGTTACTTTTATATTCGTCTCGTGACTTGAGTGAGGTAAGATAAGTTTGTTTTCTTTGTAAGCGCTTATTAAAACTAACTAATAATGGTCGTCCACTAACAAATAACGACATTTTATTTTTCTATTTATTACCTATTATATATGATAAATTTATAGATCAATATTTAATATTTGTTGTACTTAATGTGTGTAATCCAGTGTTGTATAAAAAATAATATGAAAGTCATTTAAAATCGAATTTTCTTAATTAATATAACGACAGCAACAGGTAATTCCTAACAAAAACCTTATCAACATAACAGAGATAAGGAGGTTTTCCTTAAAATTTATAACATTGATTACCATTTCGCATCAAATACATTTAGGTATCTAATAACAATAAACATGGATTAATGTTTTCGTCTTGTCATGTCTTCGTAAGTTGATAGTATTCATATACTAGTTATCGCCTGAACATACCTTTATGTTTAAATACATGCGTTTTATGGGTACTAGAAATGAAAAACTGTCCGTAGATGGGAAAGCCGTGACATAATACCCGTCTCGGCTTTAGTTTGTGGGCTTACGAATTTTCAAAACAAAACAAATCGACAGCACATCTCGATCCGATAGATAGATTAGTGGAAATTTTCAATTGTTTTTCCTCCTCTTTTACTACAAAGAAATTACTAACAAACAAAGGTTTTGTTTGATATTGCTACTTGAATTTAAAATAATTCAATTCGTTTATTGATTATTTAAGAGTGAAGTTTAAGTTAAAACAATAGCACCGTTAAGCTATTTTTGCCAAGTGTTAAAAAAGAAGATCCCAGGAAAACCATTTAAACAATAAACATTATCTTTTATCACAAGATACCATAGTTTGCGATAAACAGACAGGGCATTCTATGACTTAGTTAAAATGTATATTTTATTCTCACAGCTTTAGAGTTGTTAATAGATTCTAACAGCACCTGGATATTAGCTGATAAGTTATCACTAGAGACTTGAATATTATTTTTAGTTGACGAGGCAAAGTTTCAAGATGGGGTTGTGTTTTTCGTTTGACTGCGGCGACTGCGACGGTTGCGTCAATCCCTGTTGCTTGGCATTAACCGCCTGTTGCTGTATACCCTGCCTCTGCCCAAATGCCTGTGGTGACAACAGACAGCAACCGCCACAGACTGTGGTGATTCAGCAGCCGCCTGTTTATATTGATCAGCAACCCGGTTACCCACACCCGCCTCCGCCAGCGGCTTACCCTGGAGGCTACCCTGGGTATCCACAACCACCACAGCAAGGCTACCCCGGATATCCCGCGTACAGATGATTTAGCTGAGGTGAGTTTTGCACTGTGGACGACCTTAACATACGCACCGCTTGTAATGCTTAGTCGACATTTATATATCTTAGCAAGTCACCAGGATTACTTTTAATAAGTAAAATCTATCATAGATAGCTATGACGACTTGGACATGTTCATGAAAATGTTTTTAAACAGTAAAGTGCAACGCATGTACTTCGTTGATCTTTTGTATTTGGTATTTTATATTTATTTAGAATCAAAGCCTATTTATAAATATAAATATTATGTACATGTAACCAATCCAATTTTTAAAACTTTAACCAGACTGTTAAAAGTAATCTAAAAAGAAGAATACATTAGAATCTAGAAACCGATCCATTATTGCATACGTTAAAGTAAGATAGAAATGCAGCGATAAAAATTGTCAAAGCTACGTAGGGGAATGATTTAATTTGGAAGACAAATCAATAAACGTAATAACAATACTAGATTTTAATTAATTAAAGATCGTTATCCTGTTCGGTATTTCTAATGTAAGGCACAAAAGCATCTTACTTACAGATAACGAACAAGTAGCGTTAATAGTTTTATCTATTAAGCTATAGATAATCAACTTTACAATTCCGCTAGAATCAAGATAAATAATGAATGATCATTCTGTCGTAATTCCGGGAATGACAGAGGAAATCTAGTTTTCAAATGTGACGCCTATATCAAGTTTGATAACGGGGAAATGACGTCACACCTGTATGAGGTTTTTTTTTCTTACTCAGACCATCTTGGATGCTTTACAGCAGTCGCAGACATCCGCAGTATGGAATAATCCCAAATGACAGTGTATATTCATGAGTGGTTTTGAGTCCCTACTAGTCGTGTATACTTTGATCATTATTATTTTTTTAAACAAATTGTCAACTGCATAAATAAATTATTATAAAGGTGGACAGACGAGCTTGGGGTTTCAATTGACAGAAAGTGAAATACCTACCATAGCCATATAACATCTAAATAAGAAGCGCTGTCAAACTATTTCAGTCTTCCTGTGACGGCTGCTGCAAAGCATCCGACACGTCGGGGCGTAGTTAAAAATAATTTCTATTCAAATAAATTTTAACTGGAATATATCGCGTTTAAACCGTTAAAGTGTTGCATTTAAATGTGTACTACTCGCATAGATATCTTCATGGTTTTTTTATTTGTGAATGGTTCGTGACCCAAACAGGATTTCACCAATTTAATATTCAGATTTCATGACAAAGTCCAACATGTTCCAGAACGCTTATTTTTTGATGAATCAAGCTGGACCCAGTGGGGACCAAAACCACAACCTGTTGATATACAGCCTAACTACCATTAAACCAACTAGCCCGTCCAAATTGTAAACATTAACACATATACATTAGTGTTGTACTAAAGTATGGATGTTCTATTCATTAGCGTTATTAGCCATGATACATTTAAGGGAAGCTATGCATATATAGCTACCTGCGTGTTGTTTGCCTCGTATCAACGTCATAGCCTTGACACCTCCATTTCTTTACAAGTATTATACGGCATACATCAATGACCTACATTTTATAAACCTTATTACCATTTAAAATGTACAAAAGGCTCAAGATAATACGTTATTCGATGTCTCCTTAATTTCCTATGCAACATGAACGAGACTTTTATTGCTCTGATTTTTTCTTGTTAAAATACTTTAAATCTATCGTTTTTATAGATATTGCTGTATCTGTAAACCACGCGTAATAAATTTTAATTAGGAAATGTTGTCCAACTGTTTCGCCATTTTTAGTTTTCTGCTGTGAACGAATCATTTAAGATTAAAGATTCGGGGGATTGCCTAGAATGAGTAATGTTTGGAATCTAATGTTGAACTAATTAGTCAAAGTAAGCAACCCAAATAAGAAATCGTGAGTGGGTGTTATCTTCAACGTCATCAAAACTTTATGTAGTGCTGTTTCAAAATGGCGTTATCGACTACTAACTTGACATGTTTGTAACAAATTCTCAATCCTATAAATATTAAACTCATGAAATACTTTCAAAAAATAATAGTCAGTATTCCAGTTTAAATAAAACACTACGTATTTACTTAACTTGTTTTTAACTACAGCCGTGGCCACTGCAAAGAAATACGTTAACGTTTTAAACATAACATATATGATAATCTATATATATATATATATAATCGCGTTCCGACGTCAGACGCCCTAGTCTCTCTCTGTTAGTCATTGTAGCTCTTTTGCCATCCGAAAGTTATGAAATCGTCATTAAATTAATAAGACATTCTTTTTCAAACCTAATCTATATACTTATATATTTTTTATATGTTATGAATTCCAGGATGGGCTGTAACATATCCTGTCGTCCATGTTGCTGCTGCTGCATACCGTGTCTCTGCTGCGATTGCTGTCCCGACCCACCTCGTGCGACTGTCGTACATCACACTACAGTTGTACAAGTTCCTCCACAACGCGTTATACGCAACGAACCTCCACCCCCTTACAGATAACACAAAAATTACATACTTAAAAGTTTTGTAAGCTCGCTGGTTTTTTTAGTTTCACACACATATTTTTTTTACACACAAGTTCTATTGTCGCTAACATGCAGTTAATTCATATTGGCTTCATAAGATAGTGCTAGTGGAATTCGCTGATTACAATTGGTAGAAGCAATTTACATAGATAATAAATACGACAGTCAACTGTACTATCGAATTTATATTTAAAAGTTATAAGGTTTACAGCTCCAGCGAGTAACGTGTTGAAATTCGTTACGAAAACATAAACAATGAAACTTTTTGGGATAAATGTTTAAGCGGAAAGTAAGCTATTTCTAAAAGGCTTTATAAATTAAGATTATCAATTTTAGTACTTTAAAAACGCATTCTTTATTTTCTTTATTTTGACGCAGCATTAATAAAATCTAAGTTTACATAAAGCTAGCGTAATACTTGATGTATGAATATAACTTTAATAATGTTAAATGTTTATTTAAATATTATAAGAGTTTTATGTGTCAGTATAAAATATTATTTACATATATTTTTATTATTAAAATATTAGAATTTATCAGGCTGGGGCATTTTACTTTTCAACAAGTGAACTCCAAGCTTATCTGAAATACCTAGACCTATACGAAAGGTAACAAATATGAATGTTAAGTACTGGATATTATATTAAGCTTAACTTATGTATTACGAAAAATATTGTGATCTAAATAAAACACTTTAACGGTTTAAAACGCGATATATTAGTTAAACTTATTTGAAAATGATTTTTAACTTCGGCCCGGCGTTTCGGATGCTTTGCAGCAGTGGTCACGGGGAAACGTCGGGCCGAATTTAAACATCATATTCAAATAAGTTTAACTAATATATCGGTTTTACCGTTAAAGTGTTTTATTTATATATGTACTACTCGCGTAAACTATAGACAGTTATTAAATAGTGTGATCAATGAAAAATACACAGAGAATTTGTATATCATGTTATTACGTTTTTAAATAGGCTCGTTATTGTAATTATTTCAGTTGCATACGCGACTTGTGTATTATGTGATAAAACGTGAACTATCAACTACTCTCGTATATCGTTTAAAATATGGTTTATTCCTACATTTACTATCTAACATATTCCGTTCGTTTCAGCATTTTTTTACAATACATTATTTAAATCAATTTTTGCCATCTTTCTTTTTTTACATTCATAGTCCTATATGTGTTTAAATAGGATGTTTAATTAGAATACACAGGGTGAGATTCCGTATTTATCTATATTATGTTTTACTGTAATATATTTATTTATTTATTATGCTACTATATCTAGTAATAATCCGTACCTAACTTTAATTATTTTAATGATTATTGTTAATGTTGTAAATAAATAAAATGATTAATTTTATCACATTCGTGGGTTTTTTATTGTTGTTTAAAATAAATAGTTCAATTTAGTATAAATACGATCTCTGCGTTTATAATACGTCTACATCATGTAGTTATAAAATTTTACTATACTGGTAAGTTGTCAAGTTAAAAAAGTTAAGCAAATTTATTTTAAATTAATTTTATTGGGTAAAGCATAAGATTTCCTAGGTTTGAATGCGGAACAAACATTGTCTGATTGACATGATACGTAAAACAGTCACGTATTAGTTATTAATTAGTGGTCACGAACAACCACTAATTAATAATAGTTTTCAAACGAGTTTAACTCAAATATATCGTGTTTTAAACCGTTAAAGTGCTTTATTGTAATGTGATTTTTACTTTTGGTGTGAGACTCTGGAATTTAATAAGAAAATTCTAAATTTATAAAAGGGTGGGTTTAATTATAATTCTTGATTAGCTTAGTAATATTTTTATTGTTGTTATTGTTGTTCGTCACTTGCGTGATGAACGGAATGTTAAAAGATATATTCTCGAACCCATAAATGTGTGTCCAAGAGTTCATAATGAAGCAGAATTTTCCAATCTTCAATTTAATGATAATATTATAATTACGAAATTGTTTCATAATTATACTTCTCTTAACAAATGCTTTAAAAATAATAGTCATATTTAGACAACGTGTTCCAATTCAGAAAACTTCATTTTAATTATTCCCTAAATATGATTTTTGCATTACATACAATTCCTAGGAATAGCACACATTTTAGGCCATCTCTTCATTTAATAGTTTTAATGTAATATAGTTTTAATTAAATAATATCTGTTACATATCCCCCCACCTAAATAGCCTCGGATTTGTATACAATATTTAGATTTCATATATTTTGGTTAACATAACGGTTTCTTATTTAAAGCTTAGTAATTTATTGAGGAAAATGTAATTTAATACGACAAAAATTATTTGAGTTATAAGTATAGATAATATTTATGGAGCTTGAGGCAATAATTGTAAATGCTACGTGGGAAGCAGAAGAGAGTCGATATTTAGTTTCTTCTTGACATCATATTAAATAATAATAAAATAAGAGAGGGACATTAAACATAATTTATTTTATTAATTTTTTTGTCATAATATTTAGAACGCGTTATTTAGTATTTTTGGAGGAGTACTGCCCAGTATATATTGTAAATAATATAGCTACCTATATTGGCTGAAGAAGAGGGAATAAAATTTGACGGCTTCGTTGTTCTAAATAAGGGTAGCAATGTATGTATATCTATATCTATACTATACTTAATATATAAATCTGAAGAGTTTGTTTGTTTGTTTGAACGCGCTAATCTCAGGAAGTACGGGTTCGAATTGAAAAATTTTTTGTGTTGGTTAGAGCATCTATCGAGGGAGGTTATAAGCTATAACACATTGCGATGTGACTAATAGGAGCGAAGATACAGCGAGAAATGAGAACAAAACCTGATACCTAAAAACTATGTATGAAAGAATGATTCGTCTTTAAATTGTCTAAAAAAAAGTACGCGACGCTATATGTCTATCTTTTAAGATTGACTTGCAAGAACGACCCGAACGACGGGACGCGTACGACGGGATACGAATATTGTGGGTAACAGCTATCTACACTAATATTATAAAGAGGAAAGATTTGTATTTTTGTATGTAACGGATAAACTCAAAAAGTACAGGACCGATTTTAATCTTTCTTTTTTCATTAGAAAGCTACATTATCACTGAGTAAAATACATGTTTATATTTAGTACTAGATTACGATAGAAATCTTTAGAAATTTCTATTCAACGTGAGGTATAAAAAAAATAGCCAAAAAATATCTTTCATCGCATACGCTGCGAAAAGTATTTATGGTAGGACAAAAAAATGTTCGACAATATTATAGAATATATCAATATCTACAAAAACATCGCAAGACCACATGTCTAACTATTGTAGTTACGCCACTATAACTACTTTTTTACATTTAACAAATTGATATAAATGCCGAACAAAATCAAACTGTGCTATCCCATACCATTTATAAATTTTTATTGAAATAAATCTGTCTGTCCGGCTTTAACTCCGAAACTGCTGAACTGATTTAAATGAAATTTGGTACACGGATATTTTAGAGCCTGCGAAAGGACATATGCTCATGCTTGCATGCTTATTAATGCCAAAAAAGGGTTGATAAAGGTTAAAAAAGGGGATAAGAGTTTGTATGGAAATTCGTGGTTTTTGAAGCTAGAACAACGAAACTTTCTTCGTTGGCTTTTTGGGAGTGGGAGTGGGAATTAGAGTAGGAGTGATGTGAGGTGAGAGTGTTGCGGCAAAGTTGCACTTACAATATAGATTGGCTGCCTTAAATGCGCCCTTACATAAACTAATAAGCAGCCTGAATAATTAAAAATTCCACCTTAAGTCACTATTATACGCGGACGAAGTCGCGGGCACAGCTAGTAGTTAATAATCAACGGGTCGTAATTCGATCCCCATCGGGTCCAACATGTTCTGAAACATGTTAGACGTTCTTGGAAAACCTGGATTTTTAATATCTGGTTGGTAGAAATATCTGAATACCGTCCGGGTCACGAACCACCGTTCACAGATGAAAAAGCAGTGATGTTTAATAGCGTTTCCGTTTCAGTCTGTGGATTTCCCAATACGCAAAGCCATATTGACAGCGCATCTTGTGTAGATGTTATATCGCTGAAGTATTTCACCTCCCATCAAGTGAACTTCATTTTTGTATATCCCCCCTCTATCATTAAAATGGTAATTTCATAACTAACCATGCCAATATAGATGTAACGAAGTAATCTTTAATCACGTGAATTTTTATCGAATACAGAATAATCTATATTAGATCACCACAAGTAATTATAAAAAGAAAAGCCAATCGAGGCACCACATTTTTCTGAAAATTGAAACTTAAGATAAAACTTTATCGATAGATAGTATACGTTTAAATAATCGTTGGTAACACATAACTTCAGTTGCACTCGAGTCTTCAACATGGGTATGTGCTTTTCATGTGATTGCTCTGACTGCTGTTGCTGTAACCCGTGCTGCGTGGCTCTATCAGCGATTTGCTGCATACCGTGTTGCTGTCCAGGCTGCTGCCAAAAACGAGAGGAACCGCCACAGACAATTGTTATACAGCAACCGCCAGTTATAATAGACAACACACAACCGTACCCCTATCCACCAAATAGCTTCCCCACTTATGATCAGACTACTTTTAGATGATTCTCGCTATAGACAAGGTAAGCTGTAATGTCTGTAGTTACAGAGAATAGTACATATTTAAATATGACAGCTTTATTTACAATTTATTTTAACTACCACCGGACATTTCGTACGCTTTCAGGCGTGGTCACGGGGGACAAAACGTCGTGTAACGTTAATACACTTCGCGTTTTAAACTGTTAAAGTTTTTTATTTAAAGGTTAAGCTAGTCTTAAATTTGTGGACATTCTGACACCGCCTAACGACTTGAGACAATTTGCCTCTGAACGTTGATTATTATTAAAAGTTTTCGTTAAAAACCGGGGCATAGTTGTTCGGAGTTTACCTGTTTCCTAGTAATTTAAACAGAATTAATTCATCTTATCCACCATATACAAAGAAACTTCTTTGTCTTCTGAAATACTAATTTATATTTAAGTTATCCGAAGTTAATTCATAAAAAGTGTAATACGTGGAAATTCTTAAAAGTCTACACGTGGAACTTATTTTCTTTAATAAATTTGTTTCATTCTTTTTTCAGACGGGGTTACAAAACCAAGCTGTGTGTCCATCTTGCTGCTTGTTTGGACCACTAAGATCGTTTATGACCCATAAATAAGATATTGAAGATTGTTTGTGTAGGAAATATAATTATTTCAAGTTTTATAAATAATTTTAAGTAGCTTATTATTAATTATGTCAATACTTGTTTAAATTCAATTCATCTTGTTTGTAATTTACCTAGATCTCAGTATTGTTTTGTATTACATAAGACCTACTGATTTTATTTTTATTACATCATGTTCGTTTGAAACTGTATTTTTTTTTAACTTTATCCGTTATCGCTATTTTCTACATATCCAATAAAAAGCACTAAATCAGTGACCACATCCGTACAGGGATTTTTATCTTAATAATTACTGATTAGCTAACTTATCTTATCTGGAAACCCCATTTACAAGAACTGCACCTATCTGTATTATAATAAAATATAAAAGGAAATAGTCTGCCTTTAGCTTCATAGTTTTTAGCAACACCTGGTAACGTAAGTAAGCATTTTTTTACATAAATAAATTTAAAAATTATGTCATAATTATCATTAAGCTATTTAATCAATGTGTTATTTATTTACTTTCTGTATAGTTGTGTCATATTTAGTATAGGGATAGAAGTTTAGTTAGTCAAGTTGTTTATAAACATACACAAGTAAGTTTGTGGAAACCGTGTTGATGGTATGTCTTGTGAGGGATTAAACCTGATCAAGTGAATGTGTCTAAGATTTCAAAAGAAAATACAATGATGTAACTTAATAAGTATTTTTTTAGAAGGATAGATTAACAGTAAAGCAATCAAAATTATTGTAGGACGTTACGTATTGTTTTTTTTTGGTTCATTGGCTACAACCGCTTAATTAATTTGTATCTATTTACAAATTTTAAATGCTGTTCTAGCATAACCCTGGAAGGCTTTTTCTAAGCTTCCGTCTACCTAAAGACTAAAGGTCTACAACACATCTTGTAGAGATGTTATATGGCTGGGCTATTTCACCTCAACTAAACCTAATGCTTGTCTGTATTCCTCCATCATAAAAATACTATAATCTTCATATATTTTCAGACTATGGGTTCGTGCTGCAGTTGCTGCTGTAACAGTGGACCGCCAGCTGGCGATGACGTTTACGTTGCTGATAACAACCCTGGATATTATCCCCCCTCCACAATAGTGATAGATGACCAGCCCGTGAACTATGGCAGATAACATTAGAAGCAATAAATATTAAAATGCATATTTAGCACTACTTCTTAGTTAATTTGTTGCTTTAATAGATACTGCCATATGCTATTATAAGTCAAGTATTTGTTATTGTCAAAAATTGAGGTATTAAAATTATTCTTACACATTCTGATTTTATTATATGGGATGCCATTTTTAAAGCTGTATACTTTGTATTATTAGCCATAATTACAATGAATAAACATTTGGAAGGGTTGAAACATAAACTGGTGCCACGTGCCAAAGACTAAGCATGGTCGCATGCACGTGCATGGTCGTCTAGGCCAAATATTACTGGACGACCATCAAACGATACATATATACATATACATAAACGATATAACGACTACAGCTAGTCAACACATCAAGGGCCGAATACAGATATAAGAGTATCAAAATTTTTGTTATCCCATTGTGAAGGGTGTGGCGTCGATACACTTAAAATTAAAAAAGGTCTTATCAATATCGTGTATTAATTGTTTCCTGTCAACCGAATACTAAGAATTATACTGTTCGTATCTAATTCACGCGTTTTATTGATAAAATAACACGAGCCCATTTCGCAAACAGATTGTATCAAATATTTATTATTACAAAGCTATTAAGGATTATTTTATAATCATGTGATAAATGTAAAAATAATAATTGTTTTGTGAAAATGTTTTATTTAAAGGAACAAAGATCGTATCAAAAATAATTAGCTATTTATCACTTCTATGAACCCTAATCGCATATATAATTATAATTCTAAATAAACTTTAAAGGTTTTACTTTTCAGTACGTGGTCATGCGTTTACTAAGAATTACCGTATATGAAATATATGGTATATGTATTAACTAGCTGTGTCAGCGACTTCGTCCGTGAGAATCGTTAATTTGGGCATTCAAATTCGTTTTTGCAAACCCCTTCATGTTTATAAACTTAAGCAGTTACCCACGACGTTGGTCGCGTCCCTTCCCGTCGTTCTTGCTTGTTAATATTAAAAGATAGACGTATAGTGTGGCGGACTTTTTTTTAGATCATTCAAAGAGATTTCATACATATTTTTTGGGTATATTTATTTATAATTGTTTTAGCAGTGTACGCCTTGGAAACCCATAATAATGAATAATATTCCCATTTTTACAAATTGATCGCTGTATCTTCTCTTGTATTAGTCACAGAGTGATTTTTTATAGCCTTTCTCGATAAATTCTCTAACCAACGAAGAAACATTCAATTGAAATCCGTAGTTCTTAAGATTAATGCGTTCAAACAAACAAACAAACTCTTCAGCTTTATATATTAGTATAGAAAGATACAGAATAATAAAATCAATAATTATATACAATACGATATATTGACGAGGTTAAAATACGTTTAAGCACTTCTTTGAACACCACCACCAGCTCCGACTTGGCACAGGACTTCGTAGCTCTTGTAAGATACTTCGGATCCATCAAAAGAAATGTAGCAACAATGATGGCTAGGATGGACCTGAAAAAATACCAGTTGCTCTCTGCTAGTACCAGCCCAATTTGAACATTAAATCTTAACGTAGATAATGACTTCAAAATTGAACAATATTATAAACAAACCCCGCGTAGGATAATCATAGGTACCTTTTAATTAAAGACATAAATAGATTTATAGAGATTTCAGAATCTAGACTTCTAAAATTGTGGTGTAATAGTTTTCACGGTATATTCTCGTATTTACGTTGTTCTTTGTATTTGAGAACTTAAAGGGATTAAAAACTGATCTAAGATTTATAACAAATTATCACACGGTTAAGACTTGAACAGGCATTCACAATTCTCAATTAGTAATAGAAGCAGCACGTAACGCTGTCGATTCTTTGCCGCACTCATTTTATGCCTTATAACGTAAGAATACCTTTCCGGGCGTAAGAGATCCTCTATGTCTGACACGACCAATGTATAAAGGCTCTGCGTCGTGAGTGTTACCAGCAGGAATTGCCCCTGACGGGACTTGGCCATTGCCCGCGGGTATCCAACGGACTAGATTCGGATTTATGCACAGGACCTGAAAATAATAGAGTAATAAAAAATTGGTGGCAATTTTACGAGAGAGATGGATATTAAATCCAGCAAGCTCTTTACCGTTAAGTAATTAGTGTAAACCGGGACCGACTTCTTATTATGCCTTCCTCGGAAGACAAAAAACACTCTCATTGATTATTAAAACATACGTAACTATACTAATATTATAGATACAAAAAACATCAGGCCACGACCATATGACCGATGAAACAGTGGAAAATGTAATAAAAAAATAATCTTTGAGGGAGGCATAGTATGTTTAAACATGAATTATTCTTCTTTGAATAGATTATTCATATAATATTCGAAAATACTGTATGCGATAGTATGTCAATGTTTCAAGCTTATCTCACAAGAACCGTTTTTATACCAATCAAATTTGGTAAAAATACTGCATATGGCAAAAGAACGTTGGCCAGGTCCGCTACTATACATACATTAAGTGTCTCACTAACTCTTAAATCTTAATATAAGATTTAAATAGAATCGTTACTTCAAATAAACACTTAACGGTTTGTAACGCGAAATGTCTTTATATAATCTTTTTAAAAAAATATTTTAACTACGGTTTATCGTGTCGGATGCTTGCAGCAGTAAGAGTTTTTTTTTTAATACTACATATTTCGCGTTTTAAGTCTGTAAGTTACTCGTGTAAATATACAGACAGAATAATCGATACTATTAAGTATCTCATTACCTCAAAGTTATGCACCCGAACTTCTTTCCCCGAAAAAGGTATGTAGGCAGCTTTATGTTTTATTGCCAGTTTACCAGGAATGAGGTGGCCATTATGATGGGCTCGAATAGTCCACAATGGACTGTCATCCCATCCCTCTCTTCCAGTAACAAAGACACGACTGGAGAGAGAATCAGCTGCGTGGCTGGTTGTCGGTACCCACTCTACTTCGGGCTCCATTGGTTTGTCTAAAGGAGGTGGATCTGAAATTTGCATCAATTTTCTCTTAATTCATGTTTTATAATTTTGTATTGATTCAATTTTCTGATATGTTTATTGTGTCTTTAATATTGCTAATGCTAAAAACGCTGTGCCCAGTGAGTCTATTTCAAAGAAATTAATGTCTCTTTATTTACTTCAATTAATAAGTGGATATCTATGCATCATGCCGTGAGGCAAGTCCAAGTTTCTTCAGATGGAGCTGAATTACACTAATAAAAAGATATTTCAGTTTCAGCCTTTTGGCGTCCACTGCTAGATAAAGTCCTCCCCAAATGGCATCTAGTACAACCCGTGGATCGCTACTTGATTCCAGCGTTTTTTGGGCTTCTGACACTAGCCGGGTCAACGTCTCTTCTCGAGATATATTTAAAAATCTAAAACTTACTATCAACAACATGAACTGCATCTGGTGGCGGCTCTGGGTAGGGATGAGGATATGCTGGAGGGTAACTATGTGTAGGAGGATGATTATGAGTAGGAGGGTACATATGAGGAGGCTGGGGTGGATACATGGGCATAGGCATGAGTACAGGCGCGGGCACGTATGCGATGCCTGGTGGTGGTGCTGGAGGGTATCCCGCGTAGGGCGGTGGACCACCAGGGCCTGGTGGGTATGGTGGACCCGATCCGTATGGTGGACCTGGAACCGATCGACTTATTCTTTTATATAAACATACACAGAAAAATTGCGGTCTATTGAATACGTGGTAAACCTACTGTAATTATTATTCAATGAAGTAATAAATAAATATTGTAGAAAGGTACTTACCGTTCGACATCTTGATTTTTCTCAAAATAAAAGGAGGTGAACTGAATTTATTTGACGCGTTATATTTCGTATTGTTTTGTGGACTTGTTGACTGTTACTGTACTATCGACATATGCTTTATCTATCGATTAGATAGCGCGAAGTATTAATATCTAGGTATAGAAATTAAATGTTCAATAACTTTTGGGTCACGTATTGAAATGTGAATTTTCTTCGAAACACAGATTATCAAAATTTTCTATGAAATTAAACCACGAAATTAACATGATATTTTGGTTGTGAAGCGTATCAATTATATCATCATCATGAATTACATTAGAAGTTAGTGGTTATGTCTTTTTCAAACCATTTTAGCCAATCATCGATATTGGAGTATATTTTAATAATATGTTATCTTTGTTTTGATTGGTAACTTCTAATTACTTACCAAAATTCGTAGCTTTTAACGTGATTGTTTGAGAATTACACAAGCTGTCGTCTCTTATCCTGAAAAGGTTAATTTTTCCAGTGCGTGTCTTTATTTATTATTAATAATTATTCTCTCGTTTTTTTCAACTTTCATGTGTCTTTTAATAATCTTTTAATATTTCTAAGTAAGCCGATTCTATCAATAAGATTGTAATAAGACCCAATTACGACCTGGTATTTAATTGAACAAGTCATGTTTTATTACTACTTTCGTTTTTTTAACTATGTGTGTGCAATATTTGGTCAACGGAAACCATTTATTGTTATTTCCAATAGGTGTGCCCTGATACACAAGTTATGGTCATTTGTCATTGTTGTGACTATATTCCTTACCTCCATTCTCACAATAGACTTTGAAATTTCTCTTCATATAAAAAATAATGATGAAGCTGAGAATATTAATGAATTTATCGTGTGTATGATCATCGTCTTTACTTGCCTTAGGAGACAAAATACCTTCACTCAACTGTACAATTTGATAAATAAAATATTCGCTGTACTAAAATTCAGTGAAAACACACTTAAATTATTTACTATCAAACTTTATGTGTGGATAATTTTGTTTAGCGTCATCTATGTTGCAGCTATTATAAGGGAAATTATGTTACTGGATCCTCCTTTCATTTTTGTCTTGAAAATACCTCTATATTTATCTCTTTTGCATTTATACGTCCATTTATGTCTCTTACTTGCGTTTCTAAAAGTTATAAATGTTTACCTGTCTCAAATATTAAAGTTAAATCCCGAAGAAAACTTTTTTGTTGACACACCTAATAAGTCGACACACAAATTTAAATATGTCGTCCATTTCGATATACATTTCATAAAAATAAAACAAAATAAGGACATTTCGCTTAAATCTCTTTGCAAGATGTACGACGATTTATGCACTTGTGTTCAGTTGTTGCAGAAATTGCATAGCTTACAGGTAAGTTAAAGTTTTGTATTAGGTAACATTATTTCGCTTAAAACGCTTTGACTCCCTTCATCACTACCCTTGACCACAGCTGCTGCAAAGCATCCGAAACGTCGGGCCGTTGTAAAAATAATTCGTAAATAAGTTTAACTAATACTAAAATAATCAATTTATTCAATGTGTACTACTCTCGTAAACTACAGACAGTACTTAAAAGTATATAAATGTTGCAGTCGGATTGTATTTTCGACTAAGTAAAAAACCGCCGAAACGCATTCGTCACTATACGTCATTCAACACGGCTAGGCGTAGGTAATGTATTAAAAAGAGGGATTAGCGGCCTCTTTGACAGTTTGCTATATATTGTACTAGATTTTAAAATTCCTTTGATGAAGGTTGAAACTAACAATTTTGGACAGACCCTAGAAATAGTGTGTTATGAAATGATCATATAACAAAAACTATGATAGTATGATGTAGCATCATGTGAAAAGTATGAATGTATTGTCTGTTAATTACGCGGCCAGTGCACATTTAAATAAGACGGCTATATTACTTATCATACTTTATACTATATATTTGCACGTGCGGCTTGGGTGAATTAACTAAAACATCACTTCATTGGATGATAATGATTAGTTGTTATACATTAATAATTTCACCTTGCTTCATGTTTTTTTTGATTTCAGATTATACTTACAACGTGGCTAATGTTTTCAAGTGCTGTCAGCGCTGTGGCGCTCGTCAGCACTGAGAAGGTAATTTAGTTTATATTAAATACTCCTTTTCCCTTTATGCTTTTAAAGTGCGACAGACAAAATTGCTCAATTTAATAAGCTGGCGCAAAATATGTAAATGAGTTCGATCAATGCCATAAGATACATTATCTACATTCTGTAGATATCAAACCGCATGCCGTGCTTACAGAGAAGAACCAAAAATACCTTTATATTATTATATCATTACAAAATTTGTTAAAAGATATAAAGATAAGACATTTACGAAAGGTACATTTAAATTAATTTACCTTCCGTTGTGTGTGTGTATTTGTCTATTAACTCTGTTAGTGAAACCGGGACCAACGGCTTACGTGTTCTCTAAATCATGGGGATAGCCAAGACCAAGACAGCATTGTTATCCCAGGTCCTTTGGATATCGAGAATAGGGATAAATGAGTAATACATTTCTATGTATTTCAGACAGACACCCCATGGCTATCAGCTGTTAATGGACTTTTTCCCTTCTTCTGGTACAGCATCGGTTGCTACATCGACGATCAGATCAGACAAGAAGTTGAGAGGACAGATCTCATCATAATAAAACTCCTAATCGACTTTCGCTGCGGTAAAAACCCAAAACCTTGTGATTTTGTAAAAGAAGGATATATCATGAAATTGTGATATCGTGAAGAATATGTGATTGTGATGTGATCGCTGTCTAGAAAGATCAGAGATATCACCTAAAAATAACTAATTTTGTCTGCGAACAAGATTTCAACCAACTCATCTGTTACTTATCCTTTTATCGGTTTGAGATATGGGAGATATATGGTATAGGAAAATCCACCTTTACCTTACGTTTCAATCTGAGATTGGACAACGTGTCTTCTTTATGTCAAAGGAGGAGCAGGCAAGGATAGGTCATTTCGTGGAAGATAAAATACTCCAGCTATATGATATCTTGACAAGATATCGACTTGTTTTACTTTGGATAACCCATAGACTGAAACCTAACCGGGAATACATTTTACGCCTCATATCATCAATAGTAGTTGTTTTTCGTCCCCGACGGAATTTCGACTTTCGTTACCACCCATTTCAGTTATATATACATTTAGTAGATTGAAAAAATATAAGAGGATGAGCACGTATTGTTAAAGCTCTAAATTCCATTTTATGCTAAGAGTCTCCTCACACTTGCGTCCGCGTCGTTCAAGAGTCGAAGTAAAACAACGCAATATTTTTGCATCGTTTGGATTCGTTGCCAAGTTTCTTCAAATTTTGCCATAAATAATTATATTCTTTTTCATAATATATTTACAGTAGGTACAAAACGTAATACTCGCATTCCTGGATACGGAAACCCTACATGGTATTGTTCCTATATTTATAATTTATATGTTACGTTTCCCCTAACCATTAAATCAAATTTCAAATAAATCATTAAAACGTCTTCAAGCTGATTTGCCTACCGTTACGTAACTACTTAGCCTTCACTCAAACGAAATTCGATCTAAAAAACTGAAGAATATTATATTTTTGTGTCCATAGATACCAAAGCGATATATCTACGTCCAGATAAATAGAATTGTTTTGACATTTATTACATTCCCATCATGATTATCTTCGAGGAGCTCAGCAGAACACAAAAATACATATTCTAGTCGGCTCATCATGATTTCCTTTAGTTACCTTTTTTTCATCAGCAATTTCAAATACATGTATGATATAGTTAGTAAATTTTAGTATTGCTCTACTTTTGTTGGGATTAAGTTCCAAAGCCACTATGAACACTGCTTTTTTGCTACCTAGGTCTGCCTACAAGTAAATATATTGGATCGCTACGACTTGTTACTTTGCTACGGTTATAGGTGATGCTAAACACGCATGTAATAATAGTTAAACGTGTTATTATATACATGCATTAACATTGGAGTGTCTGTAAATTAAGTTAATACTAAAGTACCAAACACTGACCGTCAGTCTGGTTTAACAGAAAATATATCTTTATAGGCAGAAACGCAAGGCGTATGTATAGATCGTGTGATAAATTTTATCTATCTTCATACATACAGATACATACATGAGATTAGAAATGCGATCACTCAATTAATAGTCTTATATTGTTTACATCAAAAATTAATATTTGAAACCTATTTAATCATATAGCTATAAATAAACTTACTTAACCATAAGAAATGGTACACAGACAAAAAGCCGTGAAATTTCGTCGCGCTCCGATTTCAGTCTATGGAGTTCCGAATATCCAAAGTGAATGTACGCCAACAAGGTCTTGCAGAGATTTTACGTGTTGCTGAATTGTGGGGGGGGGGGGGGGCTTCCATCAAGTGAACCGGGTGTAGTTATGAAAAAAATTACATTTTTTGTGCGCAAAGTTATTTTTTTCACACCTTTTCAGATGACACCACTAAAGATATCCTCAACGTGTTGAAGCAAGCGATAAGTATTAACACCCTGCAGTTCACAGCAGGGAACCTCTACCGCCTCAACTACGCCACCATGTTGGGGACTCTTGTTAGTGTAATCACATACAGTATAATCGTCATTCAATTGTTTTAAATTGATTTACAGTTATCATTTTCCTTCTTTTTTTGCATATGAACTACGAATTCGAAGAAAAAAGTATTATGAGTATAAATGTTAATTCTTTGAAAAATGAATACTTTCGTAATCTAAAATGAAATTTTAGTAGGTACATTTTTTGCTTTACTTTATCTAAAATAAAGTTTTAGTAGATACATTGAACTTTTTAAGACACAAAAGCAGATAGAGTAATGAATTTTTTTCTAAGCAGTTTCACCATGATAATCGTGGTAGACTTAACAGAAAAAGATAGAGATAGAAAGATAATAATACTAGTAGTACAAATATATTTGTAGTATATTGTACAAAGCGACGTACTAACAACGGCTTTTATCAAAATGTAAAGGAGTATCTCTTGAAAACTACATATAATTTTATAGTTTTGGTTGTACCTAAATTAATTTATAAGCGGAATAAATGTATTGGCGTTATCTCTCCTTAAGAGATTCTACAACCGATATGAACTTGTAATAAATATAGTCCATGAACTTCTAATGACTACGTGATCAAAATCACATTTAAGTTGGACACAAATAAAATGAAAAGAAATAAATAATTTATAACCTTTAATAATAATCTTAAATTAACTTAATATACTGAGTATTCGTGGCCTTATGTGGATATAACTTGACAATTAAACGGTTTCACACATTTAAAGAAGGTTTAATTTAACTTCTGTTTCTACGCGTTTCACTCCGTTTTTGTTTATGGTCTCTGAGGATTCCTAGGGTCATCCGGAGGCCCATAGGGACGCTCGTATGCTGGCGGGCGGAACGGTTTCCTGTCTTTGTCCCCTGAACCAGACATCTGAGAAATAAATACATTAATAAGTCCATTTATTCAAACGAGTTTTAATTTATAAGACGAATTACGTTAGTTGAGCTGTTTTACTATTTTTTATGTAAAGAAAGTTCGAAGTTAAGATTCCTGTTAGACTTATGTCTGTCATAATCATAATTATTTATAATAAAAAAACTCTGCTCTCTCCATCCAATAACTTTATATTGAATTTCAATACAATTTATTATGTTACAATGGTGTATAAAAATGTACCAAATTATCATAGAGTTAATAAATCGGCTTAGAAACTAAATAATATAACATTTATTAAGTCGTAGTTATTTAAAACAACAGTAAGATTAGTGTAAAAGTTGTTAAAGTAAAACTACGAAAGCGACATTGGTTATAGAAAATGTTAGTAAAAATAAATTAAGATTCTTTCACTTGTTTATCATCATCATATTTGTATTTTATGGTAGATACTTTAAATGTCTGGTTTACAGAAATAATGTTATTGTACCTCATCACAAAATTCCCTTATAAACAATAAACTATCTTTAATAATTTCTTATCTGACATTGAGAACTCAAAGTGATATTGGTTAAATAAGATATAGACACTGATGAATGGAATTGAAGAAATTTACTGTTTATTGTAATTGGTTCGTGGCAAGATTATTGATTTCGTTTTTTATGTAAACATAGCGAGTCTGAGTTTATACTTTAAATATATCTTTATCGTGAGAGTGTTTTTTTTAATTATTTTTTCTGAGAGAGAGTGCGCGAGAGGTGCATGTATCAATAAGTTGAAAAAATCGACGACGAGGACTCTGTAGCTCAAGTAGTAGAGCAACGGCATGGAACGCTGCGAATGCCAGTTCAAGTCTTGCCCGACTCGAATATTTTTTCAATTTATTTTCGTTTTTTTTTATGTTCTTAAAGTTTATATTTATTAATGTTAAATGACTTACCGTGTTGTTGGTTAAAATCGTAAGAAGCAGAAGTAAACGTGTCCAATGTTGTTCTCCAACTAAAACCTGAAGTGAGACGATTTGTGAAAGGTTACTGTCATACCTTTTATAAAATGTTTTCGATAACAGATTTGCGTGTTTATCTCAACACATTGAAGAAGATCGTCGAGGATTTGGGTTTTCCTATTTCCAAACATGGCGATGATTGGTGTGTTTTCTTTTGATCGACTTTTTGGAAAATACCAAAAAGATAAGCTTGAAATGCATATATCTAATGTCGATATAAAAATTTTGGTAATTCCTGTTTTTTTTTTGACGTTTTAAATCTAGAGTTCAATCATAAGGAAGTGTATTCAAAAGATTTGATAACACAATGACAATTCAATTTCTGATTAATAACCCATTAAGAAAGACTCTTTAAGGGCCATATACTTCTCATTGGTCGGTTTGCCACAACGTTAGTCTGCTGTAGCTGCAGTTGCAAATAGATAAAAACATACCCTTAGGAGTCGAATATCTAAAAGTTTCTGTTTTTTTCTGTAAGTGCCACAACATTTAAAACTTAACATATTTAAATACGGTCGCAAATGTAGGAATTTACAAAGATATATTACGTCTTCATCATTCATCCCATTTTTTTTTAACATCTACAAACGAAACGACGAAAAATAATACAATACAAAAATAAAAAAAGTGTCTATACATTTGCTTTTTATCTCGCTATAAAACTCCTTTATATTATTTCTTTATTTCTTGTTTGTTTTTATTTATGTAACACTAGCTGTTTTAGCGACTTCGTCCGCTAAGAATATTTATATTGCACATCCAAATTCGTTTTTGCAAACCCCTTTATCTTTATAACTTCAAGCTATCCCCCACGACGTAGGAAGAGTCTCTTCCCGTCGGTCTTGCAAGTTAATCTTTAAAGATAGACATATAGCGTCTTTACTCGACTTTTTTTAGATCATCTAAAGAGGAATCTTTCTTTCATACATATTTTTACGGTATCTTGAATCGTTTTTACAGCGTACGGTTTGGAAACCCATAATGATGAATGATTTTCCCAATTTTTTTCACATTTCTTACTATACCCTCGCTGGTATTTGTCACAGGGTGATGTTTTATAGCCTCGATAAATGCTCTAATCAACACAAAAACAAATTTCCTTGGTAGAGATTAGCGCGTTCAAACAAACAAACCAACTCTTCAGCACTATATATTAGTATAGGTGAGTCAAATTGGCATAGAATTTGTGACCATATTTTTTTTAAGGTAGTGGAGGACAGACAAGCATGGGCTTCCCTTGTGGAAGTTGAAATACTCGAGCCTATAACATCTAAACAAGATGCACTGTCGACCTATTTTGGCTTTGGATAATCGGAAATTCAAAGACTGACACCGAATCGCGATTAAGCTTCACAACTTTTTCTTTTTGGATGGTGGTTCGTGACCCGGACAGAATTTCCAGACAAAGTCCAACGTGTTTACAAAATATTATAAATTGAGAAATTAGAAGCATGTCGGGTCGGGGATCGAAGCCACGACCCGTTGATTATGAACTATACATTGCTATCATTAGACCAACGAGCTCGTCAAATTATTATATTATTAAACATTATGTAGCCATATATACATATAAAACAACATATGACTTTTAAATATTTGAAGTAGATATAAATGTCTACCGTGATAATACTTCGGTTGAGAGATATTACTAAAGAAGTTATGACGTTTGTTTATTACTGAACAAGGGTATTGCGTAATAATTTTATTGTTACAGTCAAGATGGATACTCGAATACTTGCTTTTTTTTAGTCCGAGCTATTTATTATTTGTAGAGGAATACGAACGAATAGAGGCGCTATTAAGACTGCTACTTTGGGTTCTAGAACAAAAAATATCAAAGAATATATATATGGGAGAACCGAGTCTAGTTGTGCTTTTTACATAAGAATCTCTTTGCGGCTAATAAAATTATTTTGTGTCATAATCATTGTTCGTAAATGACCATGCACCCAAACTAAGTTTAAACCTTCCTTTAAATCTTATACAGTGTGTATTTACTTTAAGTTTTTACCACTAAATTTCACTACAGTTAGAAATTTACAGGAAATTAATATCAAGTAAGGAAGGGGTCTCCCTAACACGGAAAAACATAGCAAAAGGTCATAACGACACAGCAAAAAAGTTTTTGGGAACTCTGCTTTAGAGTAAATGTATTATTTTTTTAAAAGTTTTATTCAACAACTTTATTGATTTCAACATGTCTACGAATTATCTACGCATTAATTTTTTTTTAACATCTTTATTTGGTATTTTTTCTTAGTTTGTATTTTGTATTAAATTAATTTAACAACACCACGAGAGACCATTATCCAATAAAAATTCATTATTTATTCCAAGAAATCCTTGGAAATTAATTTCAAAGGAAACGATTTAATACATGAAGTTATTTTATTGTATAAAACACTATAGTAAACTTATATTAACTTATATTAACGTAAACTTATTAGCTGTTTCAGACAATGGTATAAAATGATTCAATTCATACAAAGAAATCGTTAAACTATAGACATATTTACAATTGTTCTCTAACACTCTATTGGCTTACTTCTAACATATCTAATATATGTTTTCTGTATATTAACAACTATAGTTTAAGGTGCTTTTTTCCATAGCAATTCTTTCTGAGATTCAACGCAGCTTGAAGTTTCCTCAGACGAATTACTTGAAACTGGGTTCGTATCGCGGCTGACCCATTTGTGGGTACGCTCTTCTTAAAGCCGATGCTGATACGAAACACGTGTTAACATACTGTGGTGGTGGTACAGCGGGGCCGAAGCAGGGGTTGAGGTTGTACCTCGTTGGACCGAAGCAATGGTTCGGTGCTACAGGTGGGTAACCTTGGTTGGAGAAAGCTCCGGGCATTTGGTAGTTTGAACGGTCCATTCTGAAAGAAAAACCAAGTATGATTAAGTGGATCTTTAATTATTTAATGATTTAAAATAGGTCAAGAGGTTGTTCAGGTGGTTAGAGCAACGGCACTGAACGCTGAGGTTCAAATCCTGCCTCAGTCCCAAGTTTTCTTGAAGTCAATAATCGTTTTTTTTTAAATAAATTAGTTAATTAATAAAATAGACAGAAGTAATTAGTAAGAAATCATTCGTTTTTAAAATGTTTTCCAAATTTTTGAACCAATTTTTCATGGATCAAAACTGAAAATTGTAATTCCCATGTAGTATTCTTAGTATAAGGAATCTCCCTCAAAGCCCTCTAGTAGATAACGAGGAAAAAAAATTTAAAGATGTTCATTTTCGTTATAAGTCATTATTAGTGGATATCAGACTAAACACAAAGGTTTTAACTAAATGTAAGAATTGGTAAAGCGACAAACTTTGTTATATCTACTTACATATCTGATGCCGACGATAAGAAATTTAAAATCGAGCAATCTTCAATTGTTTTTCAACAATGTAATTAATTCGCTTCCAGTGAATGTATGCCAATATCGTCGCGTTAACAATATTTATATTGAATTTTTATCGGATTATAATCATTATCGGATGACGAGTACCCTTATGAGTTCATTCTATTTTAAGTGAGAAATTCTAAAAATAGCCTGTTTACTAAACAGATGTTATCAGCATTGGGGGCAATCATTGAAAGCACGCGTTACTTTGATGCGCAAATAGGATTATTTTTATTTATAGCGCATTAAATTTGAATATTAGGTCATTCTCAATTGTAGGCATTCTCCAAAGTTGTCCATGCTTCCCGGTTTAATTTTATAATTAACTTTTATATTTAAATAAAACACTTTAACGGTTTAAAACACGATATATTAGTTAAACTTATTTGAAAATGATTTTTAACTTCGGCCCGACGTTTAACTAATATATCGCGTTTTAAACCGTTAAAGTTTTTTGTTTAAATGTGTAATACTCGCGTAAACTATAGACAGTATTTAATCAAAAAATATAAAATTTACTTACATAATACCAGGTCTTTGAAAAGGAGATGAAGTTAAAAGATGTGTAACAGTAAATAAAGGCTGTTTTATTTGCTTTATTTATATGGAAATAAGAATCAGAGGTGAATTGTGTAAGGCTTGTGTTGTGTGTAAGAATCAAAGATGTTTTAGACTAATAAAAAAATTTGCACTAAAAAAAGCTATTTTTTCTGTTTTTTCTCTTATTAATTCATTGCTTATTCTTTATATTTAGTAATGGCGAGATAAATGCTTTGCAGCAACCGTGGTCACGTGGTCTCCCCGTGACCACGGCTGCTGCAAAGCATCCGAAACGTCGGGCCGAAGTTAAAAATCATTTACAAATAAGTTTAACTAATATATCGCGTTTTAAACCGTTAAAGTGTTTTATTTAAATGTGTACTACTCGCGTAAACTATAGACAGTATTTAATTAGTTAGCTGTGTAATTCTAGTATAGTTACACTGGCGTACTTTGGTTTGTAGGACCCAGTTATAAGAACAACGATAAAAGTAATGACAAGTAATTAATAAACATTAATACAAAATATGATTTACATATTTCTGACCAAATAGAGAGCGAGATGATTAAATATTTCTAACTTCTGACCTCCAACAATTGTAATCGTTCTATAAACTAAAAATCTTCAATTTTGTTTAAATTTCATCTCGTTTCGCTGCTAGATGCTTTATAACAATTAAACGAACCCCAAAAAGTTAACTGATGAATAGAATTGGGAAGTTATTTAGGTGAGTTATTTTAAGATTTGGATTCAACCAAACACACTCTTTATTTTCAATAACGTAATAATATTGTTTACTCATAATAGGTAACAAGCTAAATTACACCGGATGGATATAAAGCTATCACGCAGTTATCATCATTTCATTCGATGATTGAATAAATAAAACAATAACATTAATAAAGTACAAAAATTTATTGCACCGATAGGGACGACCGCATCATTTTATTATAATATTATCTATTTGGAAGTTGGATCTAAATCTTTGGTATGTTCATTTGATATCGCATCGGGATCCTTTCTGTTCCTTTCATTGTCTTCTAAATTATCTGTATGTTTGTGTGTCTCTCGTCTTAGGCGTAACTGCCGACTGCAGAGGTAGGCGCAGAGTTGTATAACAGCTAAAGAGATCCCTGGTAAGAGCCAAGCGTCCGGGAGAACGGAGACTGTATGTGAATAGAGTAGAGAGTAGAGTGGCGAAGAGATCGTTTGTGTAGCGCTCTCCAGTGCTCCTAAAACGCTGTAAATTTTACCTGTTGACCACAAGAAATGGGATATTACAGGTTGAATGAACCTACAGTGTGACAAATAGGCTACAGACACATCAAATACTTATTATATCATCCTGATTACCCGCGTGGAGCATGGGGCGAATACACCTGTATGTGTTTCACTACAAGTAGCCAATCAGACTTCTGTGCCCTGTACGACCGAAACAATGAATTGTTTCTGGAGCCCAGAACTTCCCGCACTAAACGCAATGCTAAGCAACGTTTTACCATTTAGCAACAGAAGCAATACTTATTACGTAACAGAAGAATAATTATATTACTTTTTCTTGGTTTTCGATTTGTTTAAATCAGAGCTTATTTAATTGTCTACGAGTATGTATAGTAATGGAAAGTACTACAATACAATAATTTTCTTCTCTTTCGTATCTTAAAGATCTTAAGGTAATTTATTTTAATATTTATCGTTATAAAAGAAAAAATGAAACTAGTATCGGCAGAACCACAGATCCACAGATCACCTTTACACTGTAATAGTACACTGTAATAGTGTATACCCCCGACCTGACTTTGTTTAGCACAATGGTTAAAGATGTTCCTGAGCAATTCGTTAAGTAAGATCAAATTGAGAAACAATAAACTACAAACTGTCTGTTTAACTACTAACCGACATAAATATTTGTTCGCCCGATGCCCCATGGGGAGAAACTGCTACACATTAAGGTTATAAGATTAGGTGTTTAAAAAGTCAAATAGGTAGAAGATGAGGTAATCCGAACCCTTTTTGGACATGATGTTATGAGGGAAAATCGTGATGATTATCATGAATTGATTTTGTTAATGAAAATTAATTTTATCTTATTAATTAGTCGTAATCGATCAACACTAAAAAACAACAACGGAATTGCGACATTTTACGCCATTTATATTCTTATTAAATAAAACTATCTACCTTGTTCGTTCGGTTGAATTTGCTTGTTTATTATCGGTCTCTGGACAACTTGGGATCCTTGTGCTATGATTCCTATTATTGGAACTGTGAACAAAATAATAAAAAAATATAAATATTGAATATTTACAGGATATAATATATACCACAATTGCACTGTTTCTTCGCTCCCATTAGTCCCAGCGTGATTTTATATAGCCTGTCTCCATAAATGGTCTATCCAAAACAAAAATATTTTTTCAATTCGAACCATTAGTTCCTGATATTAGGACATTCAAACAAACAAATGATATATAGATGCATTAGAAGTCTAGTATAGAGGTGTCTATATTTGTCTCTCGTATCTCAATTATCTTTTGAAATTTAGAATTGATACAAGTAAAATCAAAACAGACTCTTGCGCATCAAACGTCATCACCATACTTAGCTTGCGGTCAACTATGTGCGTCAGAGATAATAATTATGCAAACAGCACGTATCTCCACTCGAATCCAAAATTATCTACGAACATTTCATGTTACAGTGTTTCTTAACCATTTCACATTTATATTTATTATCATCATTAGGCATCACGTGACAGTTATCGATTTTATTACATACCTACTAGCTATGTCAGCGACTTCGTCCGCATAAGGACGACATACAAGAGAATATTATAAGTTCCTGAGATTAACGCGTTTAAATAAACAAAAAATCTCATCAACTTTATAAAATTAGTATACATGTAAGTTTAAATATGATATATTTGAAAATAGAATTGGAAAGATTGCAGCAACTTCTGGTGGGATTTGACGTGATTTGAGAGAGGTTGTAGAAGTTTTCTTTATATAAAGAATTTTACATAGAAATCTAATGTGAAGGAAAAATCAATAGCCCTATAATTCTAAAACCTGTTTATATATTTTTTACCATGTTAAGCTCGCCTCTGGATTCTAGATATTAATAGGACATTAATCTTCCCCAGTAATAAGATTTCTGTAAATTACTGATGCCTAGAGTCAAAATTTTTCAAGAGCACATCTTGCATGGTAAATTACACCTTCCATTAAGTGAACCATCTGCTTGTCTGTCCTACTGTCATAAAGAAAAATTGTCCAGTCAGAGAATCAATCTATTGGTGCAAACTTCTGGCCGATGGTAGCTAAATATTCCAAGTATCATGTTATAAAAATACTGCAATAACTTGTATTTTATCAACAATCAACCATCAACCAAACGAGGTTACACGCCTATATCTTTTAAAGAGTTTAGTGAGACTTAAAAATTAACCAAGAATTTAAACCATTTAAAAATGATTTGTATATTTCTTTAAAATGTATACGCTGTAAGTAGTGTGTACCAATATATTAAACGCATTCAAAAAAGCAGGTTCTCATTCGATTTGCATATCAATGCTATTATGTTTATTCAATTCTAAATTTACTTGGATTGAAAAAAAATACTAGACGGGCGGGATTGAACCGGCATCAACGTTCTTTTCCAATAATTGAGCTATTTTTTTAATAAAATAAGAATATTAAATTTTTAAAAGCTTCTGTAAAAAGTATTGCACATATATTGTACGTATGCGCATCATGAGTCATGACACCATATGATCGTATACAAGATATACCTATCATATGGCCGTTATAGTCAATTCATAGAATTAATCTTTAAAAAACTCTGTAAAATCAATATTTTACAGATACACGATCACACATTAAAATCTGAAAATTAGGAACTGTTCAGTTCTTATTAATTACGATGACTCATATTTTTTTATTATAATTTTATAACTAAGTCATTGCTGTAATTGATATACTTTTTCCTGTCTTGAATAATGACTTTTCCTCAAACAGTCTTAACTGATACAAGATCAATGAATGAACTGAAACATGACATGCTTAATTTCTTCAAATTTGTTGTGTAATGCTAAAATAAATAAATACATATTCAATAAAATGTATAACATAGAGTTTATTTTAATATAACTGCAGCCCGACGTTTCGGATGCTTTGTATGTGTTAGACAAAGAGGACCGCTCTAAAAGTGTTTTAATTGAAATCGCGTAAACTAAAGACAATACTTTGATTAACTTTTGAGTAGAAACTGTAATACAATTAAAGCACTTGAAACAACTGACTTGATTCTCACATATTCTTGTTCTCGTTTTATATAATTTAAAGTAGAAGCTTAATTCTATAGGTTGACGTTATTTTAAATTAGAGGTAATTCAACAAATTATGTCAAAGCACATTTGGTCAAAGTAAGTGAAAGTAAATGAAAACATTTTATTATCCAGGTTAATTGTCCGTAATTAAGAGTAGGCTATTGTTTATCTACATGAGTCATTAGAATTTATTGTTTATTTGCTTATATGTCAAAATAGATATTAATCAATAAGATAATGGATGTGTCAAGAAATTAATTAAGGTTGACGAACGAAACTATATCAAGATGATGCAAAACGCAATCGGTGCCGTCTATTGCGTTATTATGTACTGAAAGTGTCTATGCACTATAATTTTTGAGTATTTCAATATTTTTTAATGTTATTTTAAATTGATATGAAAATTTGACTTAGCGAGAACAACGCAACACTAGTCCGACGCGATTAACGCGCGCGCCCCCGCACTAGCTCGGCAACTGTCAAATACAAACGATGACGCGCATTTTGTCGGTTAAGCCTAATTTTAAATAATAAATTAATATTGTCGAATGTAATTGTGTTTCCGTCTTAATAATATAAAGAAATGAAAATCAATTTTACGATTAAAATAAATATGCAGGACACGGTAGCTTAACAGCCCGGAACGTGGATTTCGGTTTTTTTTTCAATTCCTAAATCGATTTTTATTCACTACAATTATTTTTCAATTAATTTTTTTTTTTGTGTAGGTTATAGTATTTATCGGAGAAGGCTTTAGGCTATAAATGATTATGCTGCGACTAATAGAAGCTGAGAAATAGTGGGAAATGTGGAACAATCGGGGAAAATTGTTTATCTTTAAGACTTTCCATGGCCTGCGTTCCGAAAATGGTTTATGTTACCCAAAAAACTATGTATAAAATAATGATTCTTCTTTAAATGATCTAACAAAGTGTACACGACACTAAAGTATATTATATCTACCTTTTCCTTACCTTTAAGTCGGTGACAGAGCTTGTACATACAAACTAAACTATTAAAACATAATATAGGATTATAGAATATTCTACTTTATTGCCATTTGAGCATATACTTACGCATAAACACAACAACGGTTGATTTGGCAGCAAACAGTCCAGATGTCGCGACAACGTAGGAAATACAGCTGACGACACCGACCATTTCGTCGGAAAATCGCAAGCGGCGTTTTAGTACTGTCAGTATTAGTAATGTACCTGGGGACAATAAACAATATTTGTAAGCAGTGGGGAACTAAGAGCTGTTATATAGGAATTTAGTAGAAACATATGGGACAGTCAAATCTTAGAGAAGACAGAGAACACGATTATTCAGACTTGAATCGGCAACCCACAGTGTTACGTTCTGGTATATAGTGCCATCATGTGAAAATCAAGTTTTCAGATATTCACTAGTTAGCTCTACACAAAACGATAAAATAAAATTAATTAGTTTTTTGAATATCAATATTAAGAAAATATAAAAAAAAATATTTTGAATATTTTTGATACAGCCAAAATTTCAATGAATGCAAAATCTGGCCAGATTCAACAATCAGCACCAAAAACGATCTTGAAAAAGTCAAAACTGATAGGACAAAACAGATGGCGCTAGCGTATAAGATTTGACTTTGACATAACCAACCCCTTTCCTATTCCCCGCTACCACGGCTACTTCAAAATTAGATAGCAAAGCATCCGAAGCGTCGGGCCGTAGTTTTAATATATTGTAAATAAGTTAACTAATATTAACAATTGTACATTTTGTGCTTTAAACCGTTAAAAGTGTTTTAGTATAAACATGTCTCCTAATTGAATAGCTTCGGTGACGGTATTACGGTACCTTTTGCCTAATAGTTAAATGACATTGAAGAGTGGCAATACAAAATATGCTGCTATCAAAATAATATTTCTTCTAATATTTTCTTTCTTAAGGTATCACTTCTAGTGGATGTTAAGGTGTTTTTTAGTCGTACAAAGCTCTTAAAGTAATGAGCTAGGACTCGACGTCTCATGACGTAACACCTCGTTCTGAGATTTCAATTCAACAAGTTCTCAAGCCACCTAGACTTACTTGACTCGCTGTAATCACTCTACTGTGCAACTGACTTGCCTTATTTATCTAATAATATACTTGTACTGAAAGTAGTCGCTTTTATGTGGTACTACAAATGTATATTATTGTAATAATATTTTTAATTGAATATTATAGTTCCTAAGTGGTATTATTGGTATAGTAATTTAGTTAATCTATACTAATATATAAAGCTGAAGAGTTTGTTTGTTTGAAAGCGCTTATGTCAGGAACTACGGGTTCGAATAGAAAAAATATTTTTGTGTTGGTTAGAGCATCGATAAAGCATCGCGCTGTGACTAATACAAGCGAAGATACAGCGGGAATGCAACATGGTAGGTGCAAAAACGGTTCCACATACCCAAAAAATATGTATGAAAGAATGATTTCTCTTTGTCCGCGAGGCTATATGTCTCTTTTAAGTTTACCTTTAAAGAACGACGGGAAGAGACCCGACCGATGTCGTAAGTTTATAAAGATCTTTTTATAGGGTTTTCAAAAACGAATTTAGTTGCATTCTTAGCGGACAAAGTCGCTGGCACAGCTAGTTTATTATGAATGCTGAGTGAGGACTAATCGATTAAAAGCACACACTAAGTTAACCTATAAAACTACACGGTTAAACGATCAAAACCGATAACAAAGTACCCATTTGTGTTTTTAATGTTCGCAAATTTGACGTGTTTGTAGTTTTGTATTTTCTAATTAAAAACAACAGGTTCATAACAGCAAAATTGTGACTAAGTTCCACATTCACACTTCACAGACATTATCTTTATAATTTAAGATAGGCACCTCCAACTGTTCTAACCAAAATGATATACATAGAAATATTTTTAATCTTTAGTGTGTTAGGAATTTTTACATAACATAATAATATGTAAACCTAAAATTTTATTAAAATTAAACATTTCGGTTAGTTTCAATGTTACTCACTAGATGGCGTTAAATAACAAATAACTATTAATTTATCAAAATATACTTTTGTTCTGTGAATATCAATTAAATGAACTTACCAGCAAAACTAACCACATTTCTATATGCCAAGAAAGATCCAAAGAGTATATCGTCCCAATGAAACTTGTATCTGTAGTACATGTATGCAAGAAGCACCTCAGCTGTAAACATTAATAAAAGTTATTAGAAGACTGAATATTAGTAAAAGATTGTTGTAAATATTAAACTAACGTTGTTTTGGGACAAAATAAAAACAAGCAACAAAACCTGACCTAATAATAATGTACCTAATTTACCAAATAAAAGTATTATTGTTTGAGTCTTTCTATTATCCTAAAAATTTTAGAGATATTTAATATAAACAGGATTGTTACGTTCAATAACTGAATTGGCTGATCGTGACATCGTCTGTTTGGCAAAAAGGAAACCTTTCTAAAGTTTTAGCATATCTATTCTATTTAGAGAATATATACATAAATGATTTCCAATAACGTTAGTCCAGCTAGGAGTTAACAGTAGGTACAAGATAAACTTTTTTTAATAATAAAAGAATTATTTAGATAACTGTCTTAGTTAATTCAAGATCTTACCAGAAAGTAGCATCCTGTCCCCCAGAGCCACAATTAGCATGAGAAGGATGATCATTCGTTTGTTGCCGTCCCGTTTCCGCACAAGGCACTGTATGGCGTTAAACGGCAACCTCCAATTAAACACGGACACTTTGTTTTCTGTGTTAACGTTTACGTCTTTTATTACTATAAGCACGTAGATTAGGGATGCCACCTGGAAAATCAATGTTGTCTCATCTATATTGATATTATCAAGAGTTTGTTTTAACGCGCTAATCTCAGAAACTACTGGTTGGAATTAAAAAATATATATTTGTGGTGGTTAGATCATTTATCGAGGAAGGCTATAGGCTATAAAACATCGTTGTGACTAATAGTAGCGGAGAAACAGCGGGTAAAGTGGAAAAAAACGGGGTAGATTATGTATAAAAGAATGATTTCTCTTCAAATGATATAAATAATGTCAGACATTACATGTCTATCTTTTAAAATTAACTAGCAAGAACGACGGGACGCGACCAACATCGTGAGCAACAGCTTGAAACGGGGCTGTGGGTTTGAATCTATAGAAAACATAACTCGCCCGCGACTTCGTTCTTATCGACGTTCGTTCGATAGTGGCTTGGGGTAGAATTTTTCATTATTTAGGCTGTTTATTAATTTATGTAATTGCGCATTTATCGCAGCCAATCTATGTTGTAAGCGCTACTTTGCCGCAACACTCTCACCTCACATCACTCCTACTCTCACTCCCACTCCCACTGCCATTCCCAACCCCACTCCTATTCTCAAAAAGCCAAAGAAGAAAGTTTCAATGTTCTTTCTTCAAAAACCACGAATTTTCATTCAAACTTTCACCCCCCCTTTTAACCCCTTCCAACCCCCTTTTCGCAATAAAAAGTAGCCTATGTTCTTTCTCAGGGTCTAGACCATATGTGTACCAAATTTCAAATCCGTTCAGTAGTTTTTGCGTGAAAGAGTAACAGGCAGACAGACAGACAGACAGAGTTACTTTCGCATTTATAATATTAGTAAGGATTGATTACAATATTATTAATGGGTCTAAAGGAGAAACATAATGCGTTTTAACATTTAATGTATACCTTTTCGTACGAAAATACGTTTAACACTTTAAAATGAGAATTACACTTATTGCTTAATATGAAGTTCCTTAAACATACTTAGTAATGTATAAACTTATTATAGCTGTAGTGTTACACTCATTATTATCATTTATTATTGTAAATTTCCATCTTCAAGGTTGTCTGGAAGAAATCGCTTTCTTGAGATAAGGCCGCCTTTTCACGCTATATTTTGTTTTTTTTTTATTAAGTTTATTTTGTAACATTGTGGTGAAAGTAAAGTATTTTTTGTTTGTTCCTTCGTGACCACGGCGACTGCAAGGCATTAACGTTTTAAAGTAGTTTATTTAAATAGCTCATTGTACTAATTCGTATTCGTTTTATTATTAGAGTTGTAGCTTAATTGTTGTCTTGGCTAATTTCTGTGTTTTTGCGTATGTATTTTTAATTTTATTACGGTACTATAAAAATGTCTAAACTACTAAATAATATTGCTTTCCATAAGTATCTTAAGAAATCGTTTCATTGTTGTCTAGAACATGCATTCAATCATCAGGGTCAAGAAATTGTCTTGTCTATTAAAAAGTGCTTTTAATATTAGACTTCACATTTTCATCACTTCGCTCGCAAGGTTGACACTAGCCTTTATTGTTTATTATATATATATATATAATAAACAATAAAGGCTAGTGACTGCTTAACACTCAGTGCTTGTTCCTACATTATGTACAGACAATAATTAAAATTAATAAAAAAATATATTTTCCCAGAATTGAAATCCATACTAAAGAATTATACTAAAAGAAATTAATCTTATGAACATTACAAACCTAAAACCTTCTTTAAAGACGTGAAACACAAACAAAATAAAAATAACATATTTAAATGTAACATTTTTAACGATTTAAAACGCGAAATATCTTAGTTCACATTTTTTATTTTTATTTAACTGTGGCTCGGTGTGTCGGGCTTAAATTAGAGGAAATACCTAATCAACTTACATACAAAGCACTTAGGTTTGAATCTCGTTTATGAAATTAGTGTACATTAATAAATACTTATAGTATCGATCGCATGACATTTTTAGCCTTCCGAGAAAGTAGGTATATAACGTAAGTTACTAATTATATTTTTTATGATAGAAGAGAACAGCCGTCGGATTCACTTGATGTTAGGAGACACCCCAGTCATATAACGTAACAAAAGGCGCTGTGGACCTGTTTTAGTTTTGGATGTTGGGACACCTATCGAATGAAAGCGGAACACGAATGCATTTCACAGCATTTTTATCTATGGCGTTAGTCATGTCAGAAAAATTATATAGTGATTCTAATCACAGGTTTGGTAATGATCGAACCATGACCGTTGATTATTAGCCATCGATTGCTACCATTACACCAACAAGCTCATAAAATGATAAATATATAATGGTATATAAGTATATACACTACTCAAGAAAAGATAGGTACTACGATATCTTTATATGAGGCTGTAAAATAAATATCGTGATAAGATATGAAGTTTCTTACGAAAGATCTGCAATTGTAATAATATATTACAGTTAGGACATGAGTAAGGTAATTGTATCTGTTAAATTTAAAACAATTTTAAACAGCTTGAAACGCGAAGTATATTAATCTATACTAATATATAAAGCTGAAGAGTTTGTTTGATTGTTTGAACGCGCTAATCTCGGGAACTACGGGTTCAAATTTACAATTTTTTGCTTTGGTTAGAGTATTTATGGAGATAGGCTATAAAACTCGAGCAGCGAAGAACCAGCGGAAAATGTTTATTTGGATGATTTCCGTTGCGTACGATTCAAAAATGGTTCAAGATACCCAAAAAACGAATGAGAGAATTTTCCGCAAAAATGTCCGCAACACTACTTGCAAGAACGATGGACTGCGACCGACGAAATAACTATTGTACGCGGACGAAGTGGCTGACACAGCCAGTAGGTTATGATTTTTGTCAGCTATGTACCGTTATAGCAATTTTTCATATTATGTCTTCATTAGGTGTAAAGTTTTATCTGAAGACTATTTGATTTTAACTGTAGTGTCTAGACTGACAAAAAAAATATATGAACGTACCATTATAAGTACCATATATAATACACTACCATGATAAGACGATGAGTTGCAGATTGTGTTGCATAGACATATCTTGTACATATTGTATTAATAGATTGTAATGAATACTGAAACTTAATAAGTTACATAAAACATATGTTTATATACGTTTTACTTATTAAGTGTTTTACAGAAAAAAAGAAATGTTTTTAATTTTCACATTTCAATTCACACAACAGCTTGACCGGAAAATATTATATAATTCCTATTGGGGACAAGGAGATTCAAATTTTTTATGTGTTTTTTTTTATATTTGTACTCGGTGGTTCCTAGTCTTGAAGTTATATGTTTAGTAAACATATAACTTAAACACTATGCCTAAAAGTGAATTAAACTACTTTTAGTATCTCATAGAACGCAGGTATGTGCATAATAAGAGAAATATACATATTATAACAATTTAATGGTTAAAAACGCGATATATTTTAAACTGCTGTAAATCATCTGAAACGTCGGGCCGTAGTTAAAAATATATAGAACAAGTTTAGCTATAACATTTCGCGTTTAAACCGTTCAAGTCTTTTATTAAAATGTGTACTACTCGCGTAAACTACAGATATTACCTGTAAAATAAGTACAAGCGGGAATACTCCATAGAAGCCAAGCTTTCGATATAGTAATGGCCCTCCAATAGAACCCAGTACGTGTGCAATCTGCACCGCAGCACGATGTGTGCCCATTGTGCGTGTAACGTCACGCCCTGACGAGTGACAGACCTGAAAATATTTTTCATATTGCGGATATTGTATTGCAGATGCGGAGGACAAATTTGTGTTTGTGTGACAAATTTGTCCGCCTCGTCAAAATTTGCTTACAGACAGACGTTACTTCTGAACGAATCGAAGCAAATAATTGTCTACCCAGAAATTAAACTTAGGTCACCTTTAACCATTCAATTGGAAGGCATTACTTTTATCCAGAAACTTCTTTATCATATACAAGTTATAAAAATTCTAGCAGCTTAATGATTTTTTTCTTGTGCAGTAAATTACTGATATCTGGTGCTTTGCGATGCTTACATGGAAAACCTTCTACTTATGAACCAAAAATAGATTCTGAAGATAAGGGTTTTTTGTAATCCATCTTAGAAAGTGGAATTCGTTTATTTGGTATATTATTCAGTTTAAAAAGATTTGAACGATAAATCTCATAATCTTATAACTTCGAACAAAGTTTGTGGCACTTGAAAAGCCTTGCTTAAGTCTAAGCTATTAACAAACGGCATTGTTTTAATTACAAAAAAAAACTAAATACTCACATCACCTATATGACTAAACGCTGCTGCTAATAATAGTCCAAAATTCCCTCCCAAAGACATTGGTATTTGTACTGCATAAAGCACTTGAACTGTGGACGCACCAGGGAACGTTAACATAAGTAATAGCCCAGTAGTCATGACACACATTCCTACAAGAGGCATGATGAGGAGAGGTTTTCTTCGGCCACTGCAATCGCTCCATGGCCCGACGAATAATAATACGATAGTGGAGAGAAGAGATCCAACGAAGCTTCTACTAACATTTACACTTGAGACCACAACTTGACTCGCCACCTGAAAACCATAACAATGCATTTTAATATGAAGAATGTGAAGGAAACAGGAAATTTTGATTAATTTTAAATAAAGCTTCAATTTATAATAGCTTAATTTAAATAGCGAAAAGCTTAAAAATTTAAATAGAAAATAATATTTGAAGGAAAGAGAAATAGTATGTCTACAAAGTCGTAAATGTTGTTGACGTGAGTGGTATACATTAAATAAAACACTTTTTACGGTTTTAAATACGAATAATAGGATTTTTATAGTTTATCTACGAGGCGAAGTTTTTGTTGGTATATAGCCTTGAACAAAAGGAGACGCTACGTACCTAAATTTTAACTTCAGGGGAGAGGAAACTAAAATGACTGCATCAAAATAAATACTGTCTAGTTTAGGAACAGTACACATTTTAAATAAAACACTTAAACGGTTTAAAACGCGAATATAAGTTTATCTACGAGGCGACGGTTTTGTTAGTATACAGCCTTTGTCAAAAGGAGACGCTACGAACCTTAGAATTTTATTAACTTCATGTTCGTTAGACTAAAAGGAAACTAAAATGACTACATTAAAATAGATACTGTCTATAGTTTACGCAAGTAGTACACATTTAAATAAAACACTTTAACGTTTAAAACAGCAAAGCATCCGAAAGTCGGGCCGAAGCTAAAAATAATTTTCAAAAAAGTTTAACTAATATATCGCGTTTTAAACCGTTAAAGTGTTTTATTTAAACGCATTAAAATAGCATTTTTACTTATTGTTTATAATAATGTACAACGTATATAATGAAGCACTGATTTTATCTTGTTTTATATAAAAGTATAGCTTTTATAATTTAAGTACACTTTTTTGCCCGACAAAGGAAAAGAAATTTAATTTTAAAACAGTGCTCATTTGACTAATGATGTTCGTTATAACGAATTACTGGTCAGACATAAACAACATTTGTAACGGTAATTAAAATAAAAATTAATGATTTTCTTAATTATATTAAGCGTGTAAAAGCTAAAACGTTATGGTAATTAATTATGTATAAAACATTAAGTAAATGAACCTTTAAGAACTTTTGGACTGGACTTTTAAACATTTTATAAAAGATAATACCTCGTGGATACTTATTCGGGCATCGTATTTAATTTTCAGCAGCGTCCGCAACTAAAGCCCTCATAGTTGAATAATTTTCCCCGTTTTTCGAAACCTCTCACTGTTTTTAGTCACAGCGTAATATCATATAGCTTAAGGCCATCCTCGGTAAAGGGTTTTTCCAACATACATAATTTTCAATTCGAACCATCTTTGCTTCGAACGTTATTGAGATTTGTTCGTTCAATCAAACAAACTCTTCAGCTTTAATTCAATTATGTTAATCGTCACCGGTGGTTGCGAAAACTCAAACAAAGACAAAGCAACTAAGATTGACGCCATTTATAGATCCTAAGATTGACGGATGCCTAGGATCAATCGTTACAGAGATTCTTGGGGGGAGTTCAGGGAGGAAAACATTTTTGTACTAACCTCAGCAGCCCTAAATTCTTCTCCTACACCTTTACTGCAAATCTCAGGTGATTTTCCTAAATCTACTGTGCACGCTGTTCTCAAATAGAAGTTCTGCAACGAAGTCTGGCCTAAGTTTATTGCTATCATGGCCCCGACCAATGCCGGTTCCAAAATCATTCGCCATCTTTCGGAAGACTCCTTTGTTTCTGGTGCACTTTTTGCTTGTTTGTTAAGATTGACTGTCGATGGACTAAAAAGAATTTGCTAGTTAGTGCTTATATTAAAAGTGTGCATCGGAGTTCTTCTCATCAGTTGATCATCTATAACGGACTCTCGTTCATTTCGTCAGAAATGTTGGTGTTAAATGTTTTATGTATGTCAAAAATATAATGTACTAGCTGTGCCCGCGACTTCGTTTGCGTGGAATAGTGTCTTGGGGTAGAATTTTTAATTGTTTAGGCGTTGTTTATTAATTTATGTAAGAGCGTATTTATCGCAGCCAATCTATGTTGTAAGTGCTACTTTGACGCAACACACTCACCTCACATCACTCCTACTCTAACTTCCACTCTCACTCTCAATCCCACTCTCCTCCCATCTCACTCCTTCTCCCAACCCCACTCCTATTCTCAAATAGCCAAAGAAGAAAGTTTCAATCTTCTATCTTCAAAAACCACGAACCTCCATACAAACCCCACTTTTAACCCCTTACAACCTTTTCGCAATAAAAAGCCTATGTTCTTTCTCAGGGTCTAGACCATATGTGTACAAAATTTCATTCAAATCCGTTCAGTAGTTTTGTTGTTTCGTGAAATAGTAACAGACAGAGAGACAGAGTTACTTTCGCATTTATAATATTAGTAAGGATAATCGACAGATCGCTTTGTTATTAATATAAACACTAATAATAAGTTTGAAATTTATATATTAAAGAATACGCCTGTTTACAACGTTATCACAGCACGAAGGTCAAGACCTCACAATCCAAACATACAAATATTAATCCGTTAAATCGTATCCCTATTCGTCGCACCTTAATTTCTCCAACTCCTGTATGTCTGTACCGTCTGCCATTGTTGAGGTAAAACGATATGTCCAGTTCAGATTTTTACGCTCATATTTTCACTAATAACACTTCACATTTCGATGTATACACGTGCAGTCAGTAACGCGATATTTCCACTAATGTCAAAATGATAAGATAGTACAGTGTTTGCATATCGGAAACAGTGAGACTAACTTAACACAAGTCGGAGGATCAGAGAAATTTATTTGAGATACAATGGATCAAGCTGGCTATCGGTTGGTAAAGGTTATTCGTGTCAAGAGGCCAATTGACCGGTATGTGACATACAGTCGGCAGCAGAGAGGGACATTGCCTTAGTGTGAGTTTGTATGTTCTACAACGTGTTACGCTTGTAAATGTCGCGAATTCTAGCAATTATTAAAGTTAATTAGTAAACCGGACTGCTTTTTACATTAATTCTGTATAACATTTCTATCTAGAGGCAGATAGAGGCTGATTTTTACTTAAGTGATGGGGACTACAGATTATTTCAAAATATATCTTAATTCTTATAGCTCTCTGCAAACTTTGAAATTCTTTACTTTAATAAAATTGGATTTCTACAAACTATATATTATTTAAATAACGTTGTATGTGGACATTTTTAAATCACGAATTCATAGTTGTATGCAGATATATAATTATATACAAAGAAATATTATTACACACACATTTAATAGCATTAATACATTCATGCCTAATTAATGATGTGATATTTTTCACACATGATATAACATTAGATACCTTTAAAATAATTTTAGATTACAATAAAATTACGACATAGGCGGGACTTGAACCGGCATTCACAGCGTTCCGAGTTGCTGCCCTAACCAATGGAACCACCATGTCCTCGTTCATGTCATCGTTTTTATATAAAGCTCATTTAAAAACGAATTTTATCTATACTAATATATATGTATAATACTGAAGAGTTTTTTTGTTTGTTCGAACACGCTAACCTCAGGAACTATTGGTTCGAATTGAAACGTCCTTTTGTGTTGGGTATCGATGCTATAAAATATTGCTGTGACTAATAGGATCGAAAAAACAGAGGGAAATATGGGAAGAAAGCGGAAAAAAAATGATGAAAGAATTATTCTTCTCAAAGTGATCTAAGAATATATCCGCAGCAGTATAAGTTTTAAGAATAACTTGCAATAATGACGAGACGCGGTCGACATCGTGGGTATCAGCTTAAATTTATAGAGTTGAACAGGAGTTTGACAAACACAGATTTTGATGTCCAAAATAATTATTTTACAGGGACGAAGTCGCTGACACAGCTCTATAAATATAACAGTATAATGGAAATCCTTCTTCTGCTAACAAAGTGTGTCACAGAGCTTCGTCTCTTATCGTAATTGTAATCAATATAATCATTGAAACTTAACGATTACAATATTAATGATAATCTTTACATTTGACAGCGTCATAACGATCGTAACAGGTAGGTACGTGATACATATCACATAGTTCCAAGGCATCGTTTATATGCAGAGACGTTTTCGTATCCTATCGTTGGTTAATAGGAAACGTTGCGTTATCTTCAAGAGATTGAATCCCGTGTTTATTACTACACTAGCAGTATCATCAAAAATGTTTTTTCAAACCTCCTCCACATCTTTATAAATATAGATGTTACCCACGACGTCGACCGCGTCCCGTCATTATTGTAGGTTATTCTTTCATACAGTTTTTTTTTGGTAGGTTGAACCGTTTTTGTAGCGTACGCAACGGAAACCCACAAGGATGAATAATATTATTATAGCCTTCCTCTATAAATGTTCTAACCAACACAAAAATATTTTTTTAATATAAACATATTCTGTATAAACTCCTCGTGAGAGGACAAAGTCTTGCGTGTTCTAAGTAATGCTACCTTGCCTATTATATTATGATTATTTATACTAGTCACAAGAAAACGAATTAAATGTGTAAAGTGGAGTTTAAAATTATAAGAGAAGTCGGGAATCGAATAGACAACAAACGCACCTGCCTAAGACCAATTAGCAATAACGCGATACGTCGCCTTCCCATGAAATGAATTTAAATGCTAAAATAATGAACTAAGTCTTATATTAATTTTTACCACGATGAATTTACACATTGTTTGTTTGTTTATTTAACAAGTAAGTTATAAATCTGGGTTCGTCAATGTGACAGATTAAAAACCATTAACAAACATATTTCAATTTAAATTGTCTGTATGCTAATATCTGAAAGCACTTCCATGATTTTACTATTTTTGTACTGGTCTTAGATTGGGATAATATGGGAAAATTTATAATTTATATCTTAGAAATAGGACGGCAGTCAGAAAGACTTGCAGCCGTTTAAAGATATTTTACTCACAACGGAAAGTCAAACGGAAGTCTAACAATGTCTACTTTTGGTGTCTTTACGTATAACATATGAATAGATGCGAAGGCTTAGGTATATTTTGCTTCAATACCGTTGAACAATTATAAACTAATTGATCCTGCTAAAACGTGACTAAACTCTAAGATTTCTGTACGTGCATCGAATAATTTATTAATGAAATGTCGCAAACACTCTCTCTTTGAAGTAGCGTGGAAATCAATTCTCGACACAAGTGGAGCCAATAATTAATAAGTAATACAGTCAACGAACGACATTGCAAATTGCTCATACCAGCCTACATACACCTTAGCAATTTTCATGGCCGAGCCAGGTCTAAAATAAAGTAGTTGAGATCGTGTTGTTCGCACAGGTTAACATAACATTACGTTCATCGTTGTTAATTATTTCTTTTGTTTTTCCATTTTGGTTATCTTTTCTTTCTTAAGTGCCAGGAGTAAAAAAAGTTTGATATCAAAGTAATGAAATTAAAATAAAACCTTGATACACAACGCTGAAATATTTTCGTTGTTAATTACTATCTATAACCGGTTTAAAGTGTATTTTAGCATCTGTTGTATATGCTAATAGGTTTTTCGTGTGTTTGAAATTCTTTCAATGCGTTTAAATTTCAGTCGACGCGAAATATTCGCTGCAAGAGATTGCTCCAGTATTTTTATTTTCGTTTTATTAACAGTGCACAGTGACAGTGGCTTTCGTGATTGGGATTTGGGACGAATTTAGCTGTGTTTTGTTTTTAACTGACCGGATTAACGTGACCTACGGATCGTTTGAAGGTATTTACATTTAATAAAATAGCTTTATTATGCAACTCTAAGTGCTTTTCTGGTATGTCTGTTTAGTGAACTAATAAGATAAAATTTGAAATTCTTAATTTCTAAAGAATAAAGCAAATATATTTATATAAACTGGGGATTATCAAGACATTGATTTCAGATTATACGTATTTTTTTAATTTGTACTATTTGAGCTGATATAATGTTCGAAAAGTTTGGATTACCAAAATTACTTATGTCATTAAATACAAATATATAAAAGTAACATCTAAAATATTTATCATAAGTATGTGGTATCAGGTTTTAATATAATACATACTATTACCTGTAGATAGTAGTGTAATTTAAGTGTTGAATTTATTGCGTGATATATGGAGTTTTTTATGTTACAAACATAATACACATAACTCACTCAACATATATATACATCAAGATATTATTTAAAAGAATTTACACAACAAGCAATCATATTACCACTTTATTAAAGCGTTTATTGTTTGTATTTTTTATTTGTCGTAACATACTGCTCATACTTTTCAAATCGATTGTCTGGCAAATGCTTTTGTCGTGCTTACGTGGGTTCCATTTACATTATCTATCAACATTGAAATTTCTCTCCTTATAGATCCTTCAAGGCCTTTGCGTATACTTCACAAATGATTACTCATGATTATTGTTATTTTGTAACTTTTGTAGCGCGCTATCTGAAGTACGTAGTGACAAATTTAATTTACATTTGGAATCGTATTTAGAGTAAGTTCCAGACCACCCAAAAGGGTAAAACGTGTCCGTATTACCATTTATTATTAATAAGACTTCGTTATCAGTCATTCCGTCTGTCTATACGTACAGTTCAAAAGTTTTACATTCCTTAAGTATTTCTGATGCCGCCATTACAACATAGTGAAATTCCTACTTCCCCCCCAGTGCGGCCTGGGGTAAACATATTTTTGTGTCCGTTTCACTGATCGATTTGTACAGGCAAGTTTTCAATTCATTCAGACTTCAATGAATGATCAGACTGCAGGGCCATGCCCGACCGAAAAAATCGATTGATTCCCGGGATCGGACCCTGAATTTCTCTCTACGAACTAGGCAACACGTTTAACCATTTAGCTACAGAGTCGGTTAATGTAGACATAAAATAATTATTTAGGACATTTTTTTTAAAGTCCGGTACCTTTCTGACTCGTACTTGGTTCCTCAAAAGAGAATTGTTACACAAACTGATAAGTTCAAATATTAGTTGAGGTTATTTTTGGACGAATTCCAAATTGCGCATCGACGTTGTACGGTGTACTTAAAAAGGTCTTCAGGTGCCAAAAGGATAATGATAAAAAATATTCGTAGAATGAAACGTATATAGGGGGCTTCGGATCGATGCCACAGGCGAGATTAGAACCCACAGCCAAAAGCGAAAAACGTTTAAAATACTTTTTAATTTTTATAAGCCGACTTATTAAAATGAGCTCTAGAAGTAAAGGTTTGGTGAAAAATATTTAAAATAAATGCAATAGTTATATATATACAATAGTCTGTCATTGGTTAATAATTAAAAATAAGTTTAAGCAGTTCGAATAGAACGTTTTTTGAATCCAATTAAACTATAATTTTTCTTTCTAAAATCCTTATTAGGTTACGATCCTAGATGATGAGAAAATAAGTTAAGAAAAACATTGGACGTTAATACCTACTTACTATCGTTTGCTTATCATATAAATACAATTAAACAAAGAACTATATTATATAGTTATAAATATTAATAACACAACATACAAGAAAATGAAATCGCTTGCTATATTTAGCCATTTTGCTAAGTTTCCGCAACGGAATCGAGAACCTCTTCCGTTCCG